TGGCGCACACCGTGCGGGCTGACCCGTGTACTGCTGCGCCGCGTAGGAGTGCACATTGACGCCCGCCACCGCGGCTTAGATCCCACCTTGAAATCGCTCCTGGGGTATTGGCGATTTGAGAGGGACACGGAGCGGACCATGGACCTGCTCAAGTTCTTCCTCGAGGTACTCCCTCCGTGTGTGCGTGTGCGTGTGCGTGTGTGTGTGTGCGTGTGCGTGTGCGTGTGCGTGTGCGTCGTGCGTGTGCGTGTGCGTGTGCGTGTGCGTGTGCGTGTGCGTGTGCGTGTGCGTGTGCGTGTGCGTGTGCGTGTGCGTGTGCGTGTGCGTGTGCGTGTGCGTGTGCGTGTGTTCGTTGCGCTCATAACGCATGCCACACCTGGGTCTCACCGCACGTGAGCGATGTAGAACGGGGCCGACCCCAACCAGCGAAACGACAGAGGAGAGACGGCGTGCTTTTGGGTCGGCAAACAAGGCCAGGCGCTCGAACTTCTGGTACCCAGCGCTCCGCGTGTTGGCAACCACCAACCCAACCACCCCAACCCAACCATCCCAACCCACACCAGGTGAAGCACGGGGCCGATGTCAACGTGACTAACGAGGAGGGGTGCACGCCGCTCACCAAGCTCCTCTACCAACTTCACGAGCTCAACTTCCGCTACCTCTCCACACAGACGACTTTTGACGAGCTCGCTGATATCGCTCGCCTGTTCGTCCGTCGTACGTGGTGGCCGTTCCGCCCGCCCTCTTGCACCGCACACGTCTCATTTCGTTGTGTGTGTGCCGTGTGTGCCGTGTGTGCCGTGTGTGTCGTGTGTGTCGTGTGCCATGCACTTGCCACAGTGGGCGCTGACCCGAAGCTGGGCGGCGATCCGTACCGGCGTATTCTTCACGAGGTGGTTTCCAGGCCCACCTTTGCACCGGAATGGCTCGCGCTGGTGGCCGAGCTTGGCGTGCCCATCGACACCGAGTCGCCCCTCCCGGACTCCGACCATGAAGAGGATGAGGCTCCGGAGCTCGAGGAGACCACGAGCTGATTGGCTTTTGAGTAATCGTGTGGAAACCCAACCCAACCTCGACACCAGGTGAAGCACGGGGCCGAGCTTGGCGTGCCCATCGACACCGAGTACGCCCCTCCCTACAGCCCCCTTTTGTACCTACAACTTGCCAAGACGCACTAAACATGTTTTGTGGAGACCAAACAGTTCAGAAATCAAAGGTCTTGTGCTTGCGCCAGGGAAAGTCGTCAGGTCGGTCATGGAGGAGGAGCATGGCGTAGAGCACGCGCTCGTGGCCGAACGGCACCGACGGGTCGAGGTAGGCACCCTCGATGGTCTGGCCCTCGGGCAGCGGGTGGGCGTCGTAGCCGCACAGCTGCAGGTTGGTCCCGGCCTCCACCATCTCCACCAGCTTCTGGAAGTCGGGCTCCTGCGACGCCAGGCGCTCGTAGAAGTTGCAGTAGAACTGGCGGCTCTCGACGTAGGTCAGGCGATGCTCGCTGCCGTAGCGCCGATCGATCCACAGAAAGTAGAGGGGAATGTTGCGGTTGCCGCCCCCGCTGGCCCTGTACTTGTGCCGGTGCGGCACCGGGTCCTCGTAGAACCGCAGCCGGTTGGCGACGTAGCGCGGCCCGGGGTTGCCCTCGGCGTCGATCTCCTCCTTGAAGACCTTGGTGCCCTGGTGGAAGTTCTCGATGTTGAGCGCGGGCGGCAGGTCGGGCTGGCCGTGGTCTACGGGCCCGAGGGACATGGGCGACAGCCGCGCGCAGCCGAAGCCGTCGGCCTTGTTCTGGTGCTTGAAGTTGGGGTAGACCCGCAGGTAGCCCTCGCGGTGCCGCGGGGCCTTGAGCATCCGCAGCCGCTCGAGCACGACGTCGCCGCGCCGGCCGGCCGCCTGGTTGCGCTGTCGGTGCTGCTCGACGGCGGCCCGGTCGGCCTCGTTCCGCTGCTGCTCGATTCTCTTCCGGTCCTTGGGGTCGCGCTTGGGCAGAGGGCGCCGGCCCAGTTTGTCCTTGGCGTGCACGCCGCACAGGAACCTCTCTTCAACCACCACTTCATCCCCCTCTTCCTCTTCCTCCTTGTTGTGGTTATCTGTTTTGGTAGAATTATTGTTCTTTTTTTCTTGGTTTTGTGTGTTTTTGTTTGTCTTCTTATTTTTCTTATTAGAATTCATTTTGATATTGTTTCGATGTTTGGCGGTGAGGAAGGAAGCGAGGCCGCCTGAGGGGATCTTGGGTTGTGCGAAGTAGGCGTTGTTCGTGCACGCCTTGCCGGAGCCTCGGCGCGCTTGACATTTCAACTCCCCATAGTACACCACCCCCTCTACAACTTCCTTCTCCTCCTCTGCTATTTCCTCCTCCTCTTCCTCTTCTTCCTCGTTTGCCTCTTCCATTCTCTCCATCTCCATTTCCCCTTCATCGTCGCTCTTCTCCATCTTTTTGTGGTTGTCGCTTGTGCGCTGGTTGAAGATCTTGTGTGGGAAAGCCAACGGTGGCTTTTCCCATTCCTCGAATTAATTCAGTCTACTTTTTTTCGCGCGCAGCGGCCCACGGGGCAAAGGGGGTTGCGCGTCCTTGCGGAGGTCGCAGCCAGCCACTGGCGCCGGTGATCAGGGCGGCGACGGCGGTGGCGACGGTGAACATGACGACTTGTCTCGGCTCGTCACTCCTGACCAGAACTGGCAACGCGAACACCGCCAAAGTAATTTCGTTACCATGCTGCGGAGTGGTCATTTTTCAAATTCCTGAGCGTGGAAGCCGAAATGATTGGGCGAGGCTGAAAATTTGGGGAATGTCATTAGCGCACGGGCGACTGGTCAGCTGAAATTGGAGAGCGCTGATCCGACGGCGGAACGGTGGACGAAGAGTACGTGGTTGGTGGTCTGGTGGACCGCGCGAACACACCATACAACACACGCCGTACGCTGCGGGCCGCGAGCGAGAGGAAGAGGAAGAAGGGGAAACGGAAGGTAAGGCGGCCCCGTTGCTCTCGAGAGCGCGTACGGGTATGTTTCGTCCCCCCCCCGTTTTCGATACGTCGTACGATTTATCGATTTTATTTATTAAAAAATAATGATCTTTGTCTATCCCCCCTCTCACAATTTGATTTGGTTCCTCCTGCCACTCCTTCTCATCGTTTTCGCTTTCGCTCTTTGCCCCCCCCCCGCCCAAAGATTCGATTTTCTCGCGATTGGCAACCGGTCCGGATTTATTTACGTTTTTAATAGATCAGGTTGTTCTGATTACCATAACCCGCACAAGTTCCGTTTCTACTTATTATTTGCACACCCTACACCCACGAGGCTAAAGTATAATTTTCTGCGCTCGTGTTCTGTTTCTTCGAGTTGTGCCTCGCCGCACCCTCGTGCCGTCATGCTCATGTTCCTTTTTTCTTTGGCTGCGTGCGTGCGGGCGTGCGTGATGTCGTGTCGTGTCGTGTCGTGTCGTGTCGTGTCGTGTCGTGTCGTGTCGTGTCGTGTCGTGTCGTGTCGTGTCGCGTGTGCCGTGTGTCGTGTGTCGTGTCGTGTCGCGTGTGTCGTGTCATCGAATTCGACAGGAGAATGAACAACCCGTATCTGGATGCGACCTTCCTGTACCAGTCGATGACAAAGAGCGCTACGTTCAAGACCTCAGAGACGCGCAAGGACAAGTCGCGCAGCCGGCTGCCGCGCGCCTTCATCAACCGCCTCCGCTCCAAGGATGGAAGCACGACGAGCAGCACCACCAGCGGCAGCAAGGCCGATTCGCCGTCGCTGTCGGAGCCCGAGCTGAAGATCAAATTCAAGATGGACGGCGACAAGTCGACGACGACGGCCTCGTCTCCACCGTCGTCGCCGCTTATCGACAGCAGGAGCAAGAGGGAGAAGAAGAAGGAAAACAACAGAAAGGAAAAGGAAAAGAAGGAAAACAACAAGAAGGAGAAGAAGAATGCGGCGGCGGCGGCGGCATCTGCGAAGAAGGGAGGAGGAGGCAAGGGCGCCGACAAGGCGATCGCCGAACTCGAGGCCAAGCTCAAGAAGCGAAAAAAGAAGGGGAAGAAAGCGAAGAAGAGCGAAAGCGAAAGTGAAAGCGACAGCGATACTGAGAGCGAAGACGGCAGTGACAGCGAAAGCGACGGCAGCGATAGCGACGACGACAGCCGAGGCTACGCGAAGGGGAAGCTGCGGATACGCAAGCAACGCTCGATCTCCATGAACTCGCTCCTGCAGGACTTCTTCATCAAGATGGACCAGCAGGCCCAGGAGCCCGCGCTCTCGCTCGTCGTCACGCCGCCCTCCTCCCGATCGCCCACTATCGGCGCCGCGTCGTCCGACTTCGACCGCCAGTACAGCCTGACCGAGTCCGGCAGCGGCGAGTCCAACGTGCTGCTGCTCACCCGCTCGCAGGCGGCCATGAAGCGCGCGCGCGACGGCGGCATGATGGGCGTGTCGCTGCTCGCCACCGACGAGATCGACACCGAGAGCGACGATCGGTCGTCGTCGCTCTCGACCAAGCACAGCAGCGGCAGCGGCAGCTTCCCGATCACGCCCACCCGACGAGGCCTCCACGGTGTGGCGATGGGCCGGAGCGACGACGGGGTGGTGCTCCCGGGCGGAGGCCACACGGCCGGCCGCGGATTGGCATCGTCGGCATCGGCGGCGGCGCCTGGCAAGGTTGTCGGGCTGGAGGCCGACGACGACAAGGTGATATCGCGGCGGCGCAAGAAAACGAAGACGAAGACAAAGAACGAAGGCGAGGAGGAGGAAGACGACGAGGCGGAGGGGTTCTATGTGGGCACGGGTGTCGACATGGAGGAAGAAGATGACGACGGCGAGGACTCGTTTGGGTGTTGGAGCGACGACGCGACCACCAGCGCCACAGCGAAGACGCGGACTGCGGCGAAGGCAGGGGTTGACGCGGCGACCGACCCAAGCACCAACAATCAAACCGATCGGGTGGTCGCCGACTCCTCGGGGACCGTGGAGGACCAGGAAGGGACCAACTTCTACGGTGGGTTCGTCGGTACGTCCACCGCACACGCACGCACGCGATCGCACACGCGCACACTTATGGACGAATTAAAACGCAGAGAGTGGGAGTGACTCGAGCTCGGACTCGGATTCGGACAGCGACGACGGCAGCATCGGCAGCAGCGACAGCGACAGCTCCGGTGATGATGAGCAGGCGACAAACTATGTGACATCGGGGCAACCGAACGGGTTCGAGGAGGTGCTCGCGACCTTCGCCAAACAGTACCTGCACATTCTCGAAGATGGCAAGCAGCTCGCCAAGGTTTCCTTCTCTTCCCTTCGTCGTCGTGCCTGTTGTGTGTCGTCGTGTGTCGTCGTGTGTCGTCGTGTGTCATGTGTCAGTTGTTAAGTTTTCGGGCGCAGTCGGACGAGCAGGAGGAGCTGAAGGAGGTGCTCCAGTTGCGCACGCTACAGCAGCTGCAGGAGCTCTCGCTCCAGCTCATCAAGTCGACGCAGCCCAAGCTCGTCGACCCGCACGCCACGCCGATGAAGGTCACCCGTTCGGCGCCGGTCGTCCTGGCCGCCTCCGCCTCCGCCTCCACCACCGCCAAGTCGCCCTCGCCCAAGGGCAAGCGCCGGAAGCCGCCCAACACCGGATACGGCAAGTGCATGGACTGGAACGGCACATTCCAGGACATTCTCTGGGTCAATGAGGGCGACGACCGCTCCCTCATCGACCGCTACCACGCGCTCAAGGACCTGGCCCACGACTTCAATCACGCCGCCCGCACCTACGCCACCATCATCATCGAAGGTTCTCGCCCCTCCTGCGGATAATGTTCGCTATGTTGATGTATAGTTCGCATCTATTGTTCGCTATGTTGATGCTTATATTAAACAATATACACAGAGGCCTTTTTGCCGGACCACCAGAAGACCATCCCGCCTATACACTCGCTCGGTCAGTCCTCCTAAACTCCCCAACCCGCCAATGATGATCTAGCTTGGTGTCATGGCGTTCTGACAGCCAATCGGCTCTTTGTGGCCATCCCACAGGCGGACGGGCCGGCGGCGAGAAGTATGTGCACGCGGGCATCCTGTTCAAGTTTGGTTCGTAGGATTCGATTGGCTGTGCGCTCGCTTTTTGCATGTTATAGGCTGACACTCTTCTATATTTCTTTTGGTCCCTCTTCTTGGCAGCCACCGACGCGAGGGGCATCTACAGTGGAGATGAATTTGCGATGTGCGTAACCCCCCTAACACGGGTTGCAATTAAAAGTGAACTGCAGCTCCACACGCGACTAACCTAGGTTCTCGATCATCACCAACATGCCATGGACTATATACAGGAAAGGTTTGTTGCTCAATTACTATCATCAATGTGGCCTGGTTTTTGCTGAGGCCCACAGAACTGATCTTCTCTTGTTGATTGCAGCTGCGGGTCACGAATTGAAGGGCTTGATCAACTTCTACAAGGTTCACCACTTTGGCATCTGCGTGCCGCTCATGACCATCATCGGTACGGCGCGGCTGTTGACTACATGCAATGCATGACACCTGGCACACGCACCAGCGAACTGATTCGATTCTTGCATTACTCCCAAGACTACCGAGGTTTCAGGCTCGTGGCGCAGGCTCTGCTGCCCATCGGCGATGACACCCTGGTCTACGGCTCCTCCGACGCCGGAGTCAACGTCCGCACCGACTCTCGGGAGGTAAGCCTCCCCTTCTTCGTTCTTTCTTCGTTCTTTGTTTCGTTTTCGTTTTCGTTTTATTTGTTATTGGTAACTGAACGCTCTCTCTCTGTAGATAGAAAAGGCGTTGGCGGCCGCGTGCTACGAATTGAATTTGGCCAAGCACGCGGTGTACCCCAAGCACGGCCCGCCCGTTGCCATGTACGGGCCGGGCGACATGGGTGCGTGTCCGCTCCCAACACATCTGCATTTACCCACACGTGCTCACATTTACTTATTGTTGATATTACCCTTATTCTTATTCTTATTGCTATTATTTCTTTTGGCTCCGCAGAGGGACACTTCGGGCTCGACGGTCGCTTCTATTTGATCGATTTCGCTCGAGTCTTTCCGCCGGAGACCCCCGAATCGGGGTACTCGCTCCCGAACTCTGGTGTAGACCACTCCACTCGACTCACTTCAACGCACGTCATCGTACAGGACCAAGGGCGCATTTTTGTACAGACTGCTCCGGCCCGAGTTGGTAGTGCGCAACGGGGTGGCGCTCTCTTCGGACTCGTTTTCGCGCTTCGGCGGACCCACCATGGACCTGCGCGAGCCGCACGACACCAACACCAAGAACGCCACCGACGTTCTTGTCGAAGGTACCACTCGTGTCGTGTTGTGTGTCGTGTGTCGTGTGTCGTGTCTTGTGGCGTGGGTCGCCAGTGGTAACGAGGGATGTGCAAGCAGAGCTGGTACCGCAGTTTGCCCAGTGGCTCGACAAGCAGTACAACCGCGCATTTCCGGACTACGTACATCGATCGTCGTCGTCGTTCGGCGAATTCCTCCTGCCGGGCAGCAGCTCCATCGCCTCGCCCAGCGGGGACGACACCATCGGCAGCCCGGAGTCGGCCGAGGACGGACTAGAGACCTCGGGTTCGCACTCTCACGCACATTCCTCTCTTGCATTCCATTCCATTCCACGCATTCCTTCACTTGGTTGCATTCCTCACTGTGGAATGTGGGCGCCTGCACAGGCTCGTTCTTCAGTGTCATGGATTCGGACAGGCTGCCGGGCCTGGGTGACATGGACGACTGGGCGTCGCCCATCATTCAGGAGCTGCACCGCATGGGCATCAACGTACGTCTTTCTGTCCACGCACACGCGCTCGCGCACACACGCACACGCACACACACACGCACACGCACACGCACACGCACACGCACACGCACACACACACAAGAGCTTCGTGACATGCGTGTGCGGTGATGCGTGTGCGCGTGTCTCGTGTTGTGTGTCGTGCAGGTGCGATATCTGGGCCTGGCTCGTAGCAGGTGCACGCATGAGGTGGCCAAGATGGTGCTGCTCTCAGAGATGGTGTGCCGTGTGGTGAAGAACCTGCTCCGCGAACGTCTGCGCGAGCGCATGCGCGCCCTGCGCACCATGGCCGAGGAGCCCTACAAGGAGGTACGTACCTAGCTGCTGTTGACATTCTTTTGTGCCTGGGAATGTAATATGGGGAATCACCAGGTGATCTTGGAGCTGTTCAACCTTTTGCTCGGTGATCCAACCGTTGCGGCCGAGCGCTGGTGGACGTACGACATCAAGACAGAGATTTCTAAGTACCCGCCCAGCCTACCACACACACACACACACACACACACACACACACACACACACACACACACACACACACACACGCACACACACAACACACGCGAATGCACGCACACGCACCACAGTGCACAGTCACTCATTTCTCTCTGCTTTCCTATTCCAAGGCGCTTCAAGCATGCGCTCACGGTTGAGGAGCTCGAACCCACTTACGACCTGCGACGTTCGGCGCTGGTCCCGTACCCCGCGCTCTTTGTCCGCCTGCAGCTCCAGACCGCCGTCCGGCTCACGCCAGAAGCCATCAACGACCTAAAGAGTGCGCATAGCCTGTGCTGTGTCTCGTGTGCCGTGTGTCGTGTGTCGTGTGCTGCGCGTCAGGTGTGTCGTGTGCTGAATGCTAATCTATGCGTTGTTTCGTGCGTGTGGGCAGATGGGGAGCTGACGTCGCTGGTGTCGGCCGACATTCGGGGCCAGGGCGTGAACGGTAAAGACATGAACATCGTCTCCACGGCCGAGGCCATCGCCCTGGCCATCCGGTGCCTCGACGGGGCCACGTCGGCGCGCGAGGCCGACCGTCTCCTGCGCCTGGCGATCCGCAAATTCGAGAAGGCCATCGGCCGCATGCCCGGCGACATGGAGCTCATCAACTACTACGCCAATTTCCTCTTCCGCAAGGTGCGCCTTCGTTTCAGTCGGCCGTCAACGTCCCACAAGTGTGGCGATTGACACCGCACACGCCGCACACGCCGCACACGACACACACACAACACGCGCATGCAGGTATCGACGTTTGTGCATCACGGCATGGGCGCGTCGGGGCCGTCGCCGGGCTCGCGCCGCACGACGCGCGGACGGCGTCGCAAGAGCCGGGTGGCCAGCGACGAGTTCGCGACATGGGCCGAGGACAAGTGGGACGGCGGCGGCGGCGACGGCGGACCCGACGACTTTGGCGACTTTGACGACGAGAACCACTACTGGGAGGAGCGCCGGGCGAGCAGCAACAGCTCCGCCGCCGCTGCCGCCGCGGGACCGACCCAACATGCCAGCAGCACGAACTCGAACGCCAACGCCAATGCGTTTGTGGGCCTCACGAGCGGACCCAACCCGCTGGACCTGAGCGGTCACAAGCTCAAGCTCCACCGCAGCGGCAGCAACAACATCAGCGGCACCGGCGGCGTCAACGAAGATGACGTGGCATCGCCCGCGACAGCCACAACGACTACGACCACCACCAACGTGAACGCGGCGGCGGCCAAGTGGGCCGAGAGCCTGCGGTGGCACATCACGCTGCTCTCGAAGATGCTCAAGCTCTTCAAGACCTGCGAGAACTTCGTGATGCTCAACATCCTGGCCGACCTCTGCAAGCAGTTCGCCACCAATCTTCAGCAGATGGACCGCGACCTCAAGCGCGCCTACGCCCGCAAGCTCCGCTGCTTCGCCGCGGCCAAGCAGAAGGCCCACCAGTCGCTGGCCACCAGCGCGCCCGCCGGGTTCGGCGGTGGCGGCGGCCAAAGCCAGTCGACAAGCAATCTCAGCAGCAGCGCCTCGCCGTCAAAACACCACCACCACGGCAGCGGGGTGGGCAAGTCGCAGCTGACGGGCAGTCTGCCGGGGCTGTCGCTGCCCCTCGCGGGCGGCCACGCGTCGCACGCGTCGGCGCTGGTCTACGAGCGCAGCCTGCGGCGCAACGAGGTCCTGGTCGAGCGCGAGCGCGACCGGCGGCGCGACCTGCTCCACTCCTACCAGCTCCAGGCGCTCTATCTGACCAACGAGTGCTACACCGCGATCACGGTCATCGAGTCGGCCCCGCTGCTCGATTTCGTGCAGTCGACCATGGGCGGCGGCGGCGGCGGCGGCCTGACCGCGCTGCGCCCGCAGAAGACCACGTCGGCGCCGTCGCTGCGACCCTCATCGATGCCGATGCCGCTGTCGCTCACCACCTCGGCCACCCTGCCCACCCTCACGGCCCGGCCCGCCTCGCACATGTCCGCAGCGTCGACAGCCGATCGTGTCTACGGTGCTGCCACGTCAGCAGCACAGATGATGACGTCAGCAGGCAGCTCGGACGAGTACCACATCATGAAGGAGAAGCGGTCGTCCATCGGCATGCACATCTACCCGCACCGGTCGGCCTCGTTCATCGGCAAGAAGATGATGCCCTTCGTCTACTTCCGCTGGGCCGAGCTGCTCTACCTGCGCGCCCACATTCTCGAGAAGAAGACGCGGCTCGAGAAGCAGATCCGCCTCAATGAAGTCGCCGAAGGGTAACACGCGACACAACACACCCAACGCACACACGACACGCGCACGCACGCACGACACGCACCGCACACGGCACACGGCGGGCTGATGTGTGCGTGCGCGATAGGTTGCGGAGCGAGGAGGACGAGGCCCGGTGGGAGAAGGAGAAGCGGGAGGAGGTCGAGTACCTGCGCTACTACTCGGGCAAGCGCTACCGCGACGCCTTCCAGCTCCTCGACAACACCGAGTCGCGCAACATCGTCCAGCGAAACGACGACGAGGTGCGTGTCGTACTCTCTCTCTCTCTCTGTGTGTGTGTGTGTGTGTGTGTGTGTGTGTGTGTGTGTGTGTGTGTGTGTGTGTGTGTGCGCGCGCGCGCGTTGGTACTCACCAGTGATCATGGCCGACAGCCCAAGTCGCTGGTCGAATCGAACGGCGCGCGGACGGCGAGCGGCGAGAAGAAGGACGCGCGGCGGTGGGTGATGTCGGCCTATCCGACCAACGCGGTCAAGGAGAACATTGCCCTGGCGTCAATCATGGAGCTCTACCGATGCAATCTCGAGAAGCACGGCCGCTGGGGCGCGCTGAGCGGCCGACGCAGCGAAGAGGACCCCGGCGCCAACAGCAAAGAGCGAAGAAGCGGGAGCGACGCAAAGAAAGAAGACGATAATGAAAGCGGCGGAGGCGGCGGGGAGCCGCAGGAAAAAAGAGCAAAGACGAAGAAAGAAAAGAAAGAAGCGAAGATGGAAAGTGGAGGAAGCGCCAAGAAAAAGAAGAAGCACGGCAAGAAGAGGGGCGAAGAGGCCGAGAAGAACGAAAAGAACGAAGCGGCGGAGGTGGTGGTCGAGTCAGACCGGGCTCGGCGGCGGCGCGAGCGGGAGGAGGCCGAGAAGGCGCTGCTCATGCAGGAGATGAAGAAGGCCAAGGACGTCGCCCGGAACAAGAACAAGATCCAGCGGCCCGACGACGACGACGACGACGACACGGGCGACGCGCGCAAGCTTCGCATTGTTGTCGACGAGGACGTGCTCAAGGACGAGCCCACCACCACCATCGCTGCGTCGGCCGAGGACACCACCACGAAAAAGAACGAAAAAAGCGGCGGCGGACGAAAAGCGAAAACGAAAGCGAAGGAGGGGGGCAGCCACGGCGGCGGCAAGTCATCGCCAGCCGAGGCCGCCAAGGCCAGTGGTGGTGACAAGGAGAAGGACGTCAACCGGCACTACGGGCGGGCGCGCCAGGCGCCCAAGAAGGCCCCCAGCATCTCGGCCCAGCTGCGCAGCCAGAAGCTCAAGACCTTCGACGACGACTGGCTCCCGGCCGAGTGCCTGAGCGACGACCTCTTCCTGAGCGTCGTCAAGAACTGCCCCGTGCAGGAGGTCATTCTCGGCGCCGACGCCGCGCGCCGCACGCACAAGGACTCGGTGATGACGATGCTCTCGACGTCGCGCGAAACCAACCTTTCGGGCGCGGCCGCGACCAAGGGCGGCAAGCGGCGCGGGGGCAGCCCCAGCTCGGAGAATCTGTACATCGAGCGCCGCGAGCGACGCAGCGTGCAGGTCCTGGGCGTCGACGACATCGACATCGGTCGACACTCTTCGAACCATCACATGTCGACACGTGACGGAGGCGGAGGCGTCGCGACGTCGTTTGCGTCGACACGGCGCGTGCTGACCTCGCCCTTTGCGTCGTCGTCGTCGGCCACCCTGCCGGCGCCGGGCTCCTTCGCCACGCGCTCGTTCTCGTCGTCGGCCTCGGCGCCGCGCGGCAGCGGCATCGGCGGCGGCGGCTCGGCCTCCGCCCCGCCGGCCATCTCCGTCGACGCCCTCCAGAAGGCCGCCGCCTCGGGCAGCTTCAACGAGCTCACCCACCTCACCCTCAAACGCTACGAGGTGCGTGTGCGTGTGCGTGTGCGTGTGCGGTTGTGCGTGTGCGTGTGCGTGTGCGTATGCGTGTGCGGTTGTGCGTGTGCGTGTGTCGTGCGACTCACGTTCGTTTGGTGTGGTGCAGGAGATTACGGACGCGCAGCTGGAGTCGATTCTGCGCATCCAGTATACGACGCTGACGTCGCTCCGGCTCGAGAGCTGCCCGCAGCTGTCGGACAAGACCCTGCAGCACCTGGCCTCGTCCCTGTTCGGCCCGCAGCTGCGCCACCTCTCCTTCAAGAACTGCCCGCGCATCACCAACCGCGGCGTGCTCGACCTGGTCAAGACCACCACCAGCCTCGTCTCGCTCTGCCTCGACGGCTGCGAAAAGATCTCCAACAAGCCCATCATCTACCTCGCCAAAGGTGCGTGTCGTGTCGTGTCGTGTCGTGTCGTGTCGTGTCGTGTCGTGTCGTGTCGTGTTGTGTGTGCGGCGTGGTAACAAAATGATGTGTGTGTGCGGCGGGTGCAGGTTGTCCGAGCCTGCGGCACTTGTCGCTGATGGGGTGCAAGAAGATATCGGACAAGTCCATTACTGAAATCGCCAACCACACCACCAACCTCGCCTCGCTCCGCGTCTCCTCCGAACGCGTCACCGGTACACTCTCGCGTTGTTCCTCCATTCCCGCCGCCGGGAAACTCGATTAATGTTGTGTTTTTGTGTGTGTGTCGTGTCGTGTCGTGCGTGTGTTGCATGCAGACGCTTCGCTGGTTCTGATGGGCAAGAAGCTGCCACAGCTGTACTCTCTCACGATGGCCAACTGCAACATCACCAACGAGGTGCGCGAACGTGATCAACGCATGCCAAACATTCCAAGCCCGCACTCACAGTTCATTATTTTTAACAGGGGCTGCAAGCTGTGTGCTGGGGCGTGGCAGCGTCGCAGCTGACGCACCTGTGCTTCGTCGAGTGTGACAAGATCGGGGGCAAGGAGCAGCTCCTCTTCAACGTGGTGCATCGGTGCCCCAACCTGCTCTACCTCCACGTCAAGAAGCCCTCTCCGCCCGTCGGGAAGAAATGATGATCTTCGCCTCCCCCCCAACGAAGAACGAAGAACGAACGAAGTTAGCGAAGGAAGGGCCAACGCATAGGCGCTCAACTCTCCCTTTGAACCCACTCACCCAGCTCACGAGAGTACCCTACCTGTACCAAAAACAATCAAGTCCACAACTATTAGCTCTGGTGTGTAACGAAAGTCTGGTGAAAGGGCCAATGGAGGCATGGGTTCAGATGCCATGAGCGTTCTGGACGGAAGGACCTACCTCACATCACAGGAGAAGGAAAGAGCTCATGCAACTGACACTGTTTCTTTTTTCCAACACAGAATCAGCAACAGTCACCCTTTCAAGAAAAGCCCAGGTCAACCAGGGGAAGACTTGCAAGATTTGGTGGCATAAACACCCACAACCCAAGCCAACCACTTACTTCAGTGGTGCATCAATGCCACCCACAACCCAAGCCAACCACTGACTTCAGTGGTGCATCAATGCCTCCCACAACCCAAGCCAGCAAGGTTACCCTCCTCTGTTGTTGATTGCCCGACGGGCATGGGTTGCCTCAGGTCAAGGCCAGGGGTTATCTTCACAAGGCCATCACAGTGTCAAAAATGGAAGACCGAGGCCCACCACGACTGACTCAAATTCCAGCCATTTCTTTCCTCGGCCGCTCAGCAGTGGTCTGGGCCGGGTGGTGGTGCAAGCTGAAGGCCCAGATGAGCGAGCAGAGATCGGAAGAGGCGCTGTCGTTGGGGCTCGCCGTGTTCCAGGGCGGGGAAGAGCCGCGCCAGGTGCGGGTCGTCCGCGTGCGCGGCCCGGAGCAGGCGGGCGTCGTGCTCGGGGTGTACCCCGCACAGCACCGCCTTGCCCCGGCCCACAGCGCAGCTCACAATCGCCACCGGCCTTGCCACGTCAGCACCATCACCACCACCATCGTCTTCTTCATCATCGAGCGAAAGGCCATTGTAGTGGGCCAGGGCGACGCAGGCCGGGTCGGCACCGCCGCCGCCGACGAAGCAACAGCCGCCGTTGTAGTAGACGGGCACGGCGGCGAGGGCCGGGTCGAGCTGGGTGGCGTCGAGGCGAGCCGCGCGCGAGCCGCGCTCGGTGGCGTAGTCGAACTGGCCCGGCGGCACCAGCGGCCCACGCGCCGTGCCCGCGTAGAAGGCGAGCTCGCGGGTCTCGCACACTTCGAGCCCAGCCGCCGCACCTTTCTCGAACTCGACGCGGGCGCAGCCGTAGTAGCCGCCCGCGCAGAGGCCCAGGTAGCGGCCCCCGGCCTCGACCCAGGCGCGGATGCGAGCGTTGCCGGCCCCGCGTAGGGCGTGGTCGTAGGGCCGATCGGCGCCGCCGGGCATGACCAGTAGGCAGGCCTCGCTCGTCCATGACAATGTTGCCTCATCATCTTCTTTTTGTAGCTTGATGCGGTTGCTGTCGATGCGCCTGACTTCGTGTCGGTCGAGGTCGAGGTGCTGTCGCAGACTGTGCAGCGTGTGCTCGAGCGACCGGGGACCCACCCCCTCGTCGTCGTACACAAACACCACCCTCTTGCCCTCGCCACGTCGTGGCTCGACACTCACCTCTTCTTCGGCTGTCGTGGCGCTCATCTTGGGCGAGAAATCGAAAAGAAAACAAAGAGAAAGGCAAAAGAAAGAAAGGAAAATGAGTTTTCTTTTTATTTCTCTGGGTGAAGCGAAGTGCGAGCCTCAGGAGTACTCGGCCTTGACGTTGTTGGGGTGCTTCTCGCCGGTCTTGCCCTCGACGAAGGCGTCGACGTTCTTGACGGTGGTCTGGGCGATGTTGTCCAGCGCGTCGATGGTGAAGAAGGCCTGGTGGCCCGTCACCACCACATTGGGGAACGTGAACAACCGCGCCAGCACCGAATCCGAAATGATCTGCATATTCATCGGCGCCGCACACAATGTCAGTCCGTGTGCGGTGGTGTGTGCGGTGGTGTGTGCGGTGGTGTGTGCGGTGATACCTCGGCAGAGTGGTCTTCGAAGAAGTAGGCCTCCTCCTCTTCGTAGACGTCGAGGCCGGCGTAGCCGATCTGGCCGGTCTTGAGGCCGTTGATGAGGGCCGACGTCTCAATGAGGCCGCCGCGCGACGTGTTGATCAGCATGACGCCGCGCTTCATCTTGGCGATGGACTTGTCGTTGATCATGTGCCGCGTCGATTCCAGGAGCGGCAGGTGGAGCGAGATGATGTCCGACTGGGCCAGCAGCTCGTCCAGCTCGACGTACTTGGTGTTCTTCTTCTGCTTGACGGCCTCGTTCTGGTAGACGTCGTAGCACAGCACCGTGCACCCGAACCCGATGAGAATGTCGATCAGGCACCTGCGCACGTCCACAGCCTCGCTCGCGTCAGCGACATGGCACACAACGCACGGCACACGACCGCACGCGACACGACACACATGACACACAACGCACGGCACACGACACACACGACGAGAGCGTACACTCCGATCTTGCCGGTGCCGACGATACCGACGGTCTTGCCGTGAATGTCAAAGCCAAGCAGGCCCTGCAGGGCAAAGTTGCCCTCCCTCGTGCGGTTGTAGGCCCTGGACGAATAATAAGCATAATTAGAATTGTTAATTATTTGTAAATACGTAAATAGATGATAACAACAATACATAATAAATTGCAAATAATAAATAAATAAATATCATGCGTACTTGTGCAGCTTGCGGTTGAGGGTGAGAATGAGTCCCATGGCGTGTTCGGCCACAGCGTAGGGCGAATAGGCCGGCACACGCACCACCTGGATGCCGTGCACTAAACACACACACACACAACACACACAACACACAACACACAACACACGACCGCGCCAGAAAACGAAATGAGTTTGCGTGCGTGCGTGCGATGAGGTGGAAAGAGGAGGTTGCGTACCCTGGCAGGCCTTGAGGTCGACGTTGTTGTAGCCGGCGCAACGCAGCGCGATCAGCTTGACCTTCATGTCGGCGAGCTCCTCGACCACCTTGGCATCGGCGCGGTCGTTCACGAAGATGCAGACGGCGTCCGAGCCGGCCGCCTCGCGGACCGTGCGCTCGCTCAACCGCTCGGGGCAAAAGTTGAACTCGTACTTGCCCTGCACACAGCGCCAACGCAAACGTTGAGTGTGTGTGTCGTGTGTGTGTGTCGTGTGTGTGTCGTGTGTGTGGTGTACGTGTGTTACCTCAGAACCATCTTTGTTGGCCTGCTCGAAGGGTCCCTTCTCATAGGGCTTGAAGTCGAAGAAGGTGATCGTGAACTTGGTGTGGGCCTGCTTCTTGCGGATGAGCTTGCTGTTCTCGCGCAGCTGCTTGGAGAAGACCACCAGGAGCTTGGCCGCGAGAGCAGAGTCGCTGACGCCCAACAGGTCGTGGAACTCCTTCGCCCCGAGCGTCCACACCACAGTATCCTCTTCGCACTGTGTGTGTTGGTTGTGCGCGCGTGAGTGTGTGTCGTGTGTGTCGTGTGTGTCGTGTGTGTCGTGTGTGTCGTGTGTGTGTCGTGTGTCGCGTGTGCGATGGCGGGGAGTCGCACCACAAGGGTGGCGAAGCAGGGGTCCTGGGTGAAGAGGTGCAGCATGCCCGAGACGTCGTCCTGGCCGAGCTCGTCCACCGGAATTCCGCCCTTGACCCGCTTGACCTTGCCGCTCTCGATCAAAAACATCGCTACACAATGGAGATACAAATTTAAAATCAAATGGACAAAATCAAGTAGTGGCTCGTAGCAGCGTTGTCAAAATTCACAAAATATGCTGAAAATGGCCCTGTCGAAAGCTTGAGTGCAGATTAGGGCCTGGCAGGACGAGTGAGGTACGTACCGGGCTGGGGCTCGCCCTCCTTGGCCAGCACGTCGCCCTTGGCGTGCTTGCTACGCTTGAAGTGCTTGGCCACGGTCTTCAGGAGCTCCTCGTTGTCGATCTCGGCAAAGAGCGGCAGGCTCTTCAAAAACTCGGTCGCATGCTCCGTCTCCTGTGCCATCTTCCTCTTGTCTCTTCCTCTTCCTTGTCCAGTTGGTTATTGTTGTGTGGTGCGCACACGAGTGCGCGTTCGTTTTGCTGTCGACAAATATACAGAAATTCGCTCAGAAATGCAGCAAAAATCAATCAAAAGGCTTTTTCTTAAGCAACCAAAAAGAAAACGAAGGAAACTAAAAAGAAATAATCTTTTAGCTGCGCGACTTGACCCACTCGACTAGGTCGGCGAAGAGAAGCTGGCGCGAGGGCTCCTGCAGGAGGGCATGCTTCCAGTTATCGAAGTACTTGGCCTGCTTGTCCCTGTGTACGCATGTCAGAACCGCACACGCACACGCACACGCCACACACAACACGCAACACGACACACGACACGCCAATTGATGATGGTGGCCGTACTTGCTGTTCTTGGCGTTCTGGATGAGGTACTCGCCGCCGGCCATGTTGGTGGCGATGTCGTCGGTGCCGTAGATGACGAAGAAGGGGTAGGTCGTCTTGGTGGCGGCCTCGCTCTTGATCTTGTCCATGGCCCCCAGCATCTGCGCGCCCCATCGCGCCGTCACGTAGCCCTTGTAGGCCAACGGGTCCGCCATGAACGCGCGATCTGCCCATAATAACCATAGATAATGTGTGCAGTGGTGCGTGTGTCATGTGTCGTGTGCGGTGATGCGGTGTCGCGTGTGCGGTGGTGCGTGTGTCGTGTCAGCATTCAATTCCTGAAGGATGACAGATCTGAGGGAAGTGAGGCGAACGCACAGCGGTCCTTGTCGGCGACAATGTTGTCGTCATCGAGCGCGCCCACCTTGAGCTTGGGTACGTAGTGCGAGAAGAACCTGCAAGAGCGAAAATGTGGCATAATTAATTAATTAATTAAATAAATAAATAATAATATTGGTCGCAAGGAAAGGAAAGGCACGCACCTGGCGGCCTCGATCTGCCAGGGCGCGGCCGAGCGCGGGTCGGGAATGATGCCCGGCGCCAGCAGGATGACGCCGTTGAAGAAGGACGACCGCTCGTTGGCCACCAGCGTCGCGATCGTGCCTCCCATCGACGTTCTACACAACACACGCACACACGCACACGCACACGCACACGCACACGCACACGCACACGCACACGCACACGCACACGCACACGCACAAACGACACACATCGGCACGGGTTAGAATGGAAGGCGCTCTGGCGCGCAGGTGCAGGAGAGGCGCTCGCGGTACCCGGAGAGGAAGCGCGGGAGGGCCTTGAGGTGCGGGTGCTGCTGGAGGATGGTGTCCAGGAACTGGGTGTAGTCGGCGATGTAGTCGTCGAATTCTTCGATGTACACGCGCTCGCCCTCGCTCTGTCCGTGGCCTGGCCTCGATCCAAACGACAACGACACCAACCAACATATTTATAGTTATTATATATGAGAAAAAACTTTATCAAATATATTCCAGCGCACACCAATGGTGAGTTGGGACGTGGCGAGAGGAGCACGCACCTTGGTGGTCGAGGCAGAAGAAGGCGAACGAGTTGTTGGTCCATAGCTGCGCGAACTCGTGGTACCGGCCGCAGTGGTCCCCAAACCCGTGCGAGTAGAACATCACTCCCCTGTGTATTATTTATTTTTATTTGATTAATCATAATTATTGTTAATCAATTATTACTTATTATTTGGTTTTATCTGATTAATAGTATCAATTATCAATTATCAATTATTTGGTTAATCTGCGAAAAAATAGGGAAGGAGATGGTTCCCAGAGAGGGTGGTGGTTCTGTACTTGAGGGAAGCAGAGGAGGCGGGAGGCAGCCAGGCGTAGTGGTGCAGCCAGAGGCCCTGGGCGTTGCGGATGTGCTGGGGCGATGGCTGGTGGTCGTGTCGCGGTACGGCGTGCCTGTCGTGCAGCAGCGGCTCGACGCTCCACGCGGCCCACGCGGCCAAGGCCACCACGACAACCGCCCGCACGACCAACGCGCCATACGCTGCCGCGGCCGACAAGTTCGTGCTTGAGGTCGAGGTCGAGGTCGAGGTCGCTGCGTTGCTCTTCTTCTTGCTCGTCATCGCTGCTTTGTTTTAAAAAAATGTAAAAAATAAAAAACCATCAAAGGGCGGGAGCTGTCGAAATTTCGCCTACTCAACCACAGGAAGGTTGTCTACATTCTTTTGGTCCCGAGGGGCTGAGCGGTTCCCAACAACACAACAAACACCCAAATCCTTGTACATCTCTGTTTGATATCAACTTCTTGGTAAACATTGGTGTTGGAGTACACCGAAAAAGAAAACAAAAAGTTGGTGGTGGCGTCATGGGTTAGTTTGGCACTGGGTGATGTGGGCGGCCTCGCCACAGGGCTCAGGACCCTCTTGGGTCCTGTCCCCTTCACGCAGGAGGCCCACCACACAACACCCCACAGTCACAGATGATCATTCAGTTTTGAGGTATCGAAGTAACCCATTGACAAATGCACCAAGCTCACACACCCAACACAGTAAGCCCAGGCCTACCACACCTGCGCGCTCCTCTATTGTGGGACCATCGGCTCTGCATTCGTTCTTTATTCTGTTTTCGTTCTTTCTTTTTCTCTGGTTCAGCCAAATGGCCATAGAGGTCCCACAATGGACGAAGAAGGTCAAGGGTTGAAGTAGCGAGGTGGCTGTCCAGGGAAAGGCATTACCAACCGTAGAATTGTATCTCCGGTTCATAGTCTACATCACTTAAAGTGGTGGCCTGCTCGTCCCTCTATTCCGAGGGGCTGAGCGGTTCCCAACAACACAACAACAAAATCATGTCCCCAGCATCACCAAACACATCAAGCACATGTCTTCATCATTTTCTTCATCAACAAACAATGTTATGGTGGTGACGTGAACATATTACGTTGGGTGGAGCGCTGTGTGCAAAGAAATGTTGTTGTATTGTTTGTTTGGTTTATCACTCACTTGGGCTTTTCATCGGTGATGGTCTGGGAGAGGTGGACGAGGAGGTCCGAGCAGCAGTTGAAGAAGCCGAAGGTGTCGCCGCCCAGCTTCTTGAAGTCGAGCAGGTACCGGCCCGACGTGAGCTTGAACAGCTGAATCGACAGCTTGACCCGCTTGCTGCTCGCAGCCGCGGCTTCGGTGGTGGTGGCACCGCTCGCGCTGAGGCTGCCGCGCCGCTCGACGTTCGTCGTCGCCGATCGGCCTCGTCGCACCGGCGTGGTCGTCGTCGATGATGAAGACGAAGAAGACGACACGACGCCGTCCTCGCTTCGTCGTCGCGCTGTCGACTCTCGCTCGCCCTCCTCTTCATCGGCAGCCGCCGCGTCGCTCGTGTCGCTCTTCCGCATCGTCGACGTCGTCTTGTCGCGCGACCCCATCATGGCCATCATCGCCGCCATGATCGACCCCCGCTCCGACTCGCCGCTCGCCCGCCGCTCTCGCCCACTTCCGCCGCCGCCGCCGCTGCCGCTGCCGTCCAGGGCGATGATCTCTCGCCCCGGGCTGCTGCCGCGCCGGTTCGGTGGGCTGATGGACCGCTCGCGACTGCTGGCCGACCGCTCGCGTCGTCGGCCCTTGTTGCCGGGCGGGGTCGGCGTCGAGTCGCCGACGCCGCCGCCACCAGGGGCGACGTCGCCGCGTGGGCTGGTGAAGGCGCTGCTGATGCGGTGGTGGGTGAGATCCTCCCCGCTCGACGACGAGAAGATGCCGCGCTCGCGGTCGCTCTCGGCCTCCTCGCTCGCATCGTCAAAGTTGCCCACCTGGCGACATCGCACCTGATACGTGCTGACCTGCTTCCATTCCTGCTCGTCGTGTGTGCGATATGTGCGTGTGTGCGGTGTGTGTGTGCGGCGTGTGCGGTCAGAATTGAGCCAGAGAAGAGCGACGAGCAGGAGGTGGAGGAGAAGCGTACGAAGCCGGTGGCTTTGAGGGCAAAGAGGACGTGGCGCATGATCTCCCGCGGGTGCTTGGACGAGACGATGCCCAGGTACCACTTCTTGGCCTCCTTGCGGCTGCTCTCGAGCAGCTTGGCCTTCTCGCCGTTGACGGCCGGCGCCAGCGGCGGCGAGGTCAGGCCCATGGGCGAGGCACCCACCGCGGCCGCACTCGCAAACGGCGACGGCAATGGCGGAGGAGAGAAGAGCGCCGCGCCGTACGGCGTTGGCCGCATGAACACATCCAAGTCCTCCTGTAGTCGTGTCGTGTCGTTGGTCGTGTCGTTGGTCGTGTCGTGTCGTGTCGTGTGTGCGTTAGACATGTCAATAAAATGTGGCAGTGGGTGTGTCATTGCGTACCGTCTCATAGTCGCCGGGAGCAAACGCTGTTGAAGAAGAAAAAAAGAGAAGAGAGAAGAAGAAAAGAAGAAGAAATGAGTAACGAGGAGCTGGAAATGAAGCAATAATGGGGTGACGATGATGGTGATGATGGTGGCGCCACCTTTGTACTCATACATGCGGCGGGCATCGTGAATGAGGTGGTAGGCCACCATGATGTCGTTTCCCTGTGCCGACGACCCGGCGTCCTCTTCCAACGACGCCTCCAGCAGCAGCGGAATGGCCGCCTCTCTCGTCATCTCGAATTTCTGTACACGCGACACGCGCCACACCACCACACACGACACACGACCCACCACGACACACGACACACGACACACGACACACGACATCAAAGCATGTTCAATGGAGCGATGATCGGATATTGGGGGGGGGGTTACGGTGAGAATCTCCTGGAGGACGTCCTCCTCGATGTCCTCCTCTCGCGCCAGCGTGATCTTGACGGGGGTGTACTTGAGGTACTCGGGCAGGTTCACCTGATACCACGGATGCGCTCTGCACACGCGACACACACACGCGACACACGCGACACACACACACACACAACACACACAGGATGAGCACCGCGAAGGAAGGGGAATGGAATGGAGTGTGTCAGCGGTACTTGATGTCTTCTATCGTGGCGCGTGCCAGGGCGTCAACGTTGAGCATCGACATGATCAAGCTGCGGCAGCCTGCCCCCACCATATGAAAACAGACATGAGGTTCCACCGAGACCCGTGTCGTGCGTGTGCGTGTGTCATGTGTGCGTGTGCGGTCGTGCGTGTGCGGTCGTGCGTGTGCGGTCGTGCGTGTGCGTAGACTATGGAGGTACGTACCGGGGGTCACGTGGGAGGGAATGGTGTAGGCGCCCAGGCGGATCTTCTTGAAGAGGTTCGGGATGTGTTCGTCGTCGAAGGGCAGTCGCGCGCACACGAGCGCGTAGAGGATCACCCCACAGCTCCACACATCGACCTCCGGCCCGGCATACATCCTTGTTGGTGTTCGGTCAGCGTTAGTCGCACATCGCGTGTGCGGTGGCGTGAGTGCGTGTGCGGTTGTTCGGTGGTGTGTGCGTGTGCGGTGGCGCGTGTGCGTGTGCGTGTGTGCAGCGCACGAGTTACGTGGGGGGGGGGACGTGTGCGTACTGGCCGGAGATGACTTCGGGCGCGGCGTAATTGGGCGACCCGCAGCTCGTCGTCAAAAAGTCGCCGTCTTGCATGAAATTGGACAATCCTAGCAGCAGAGCAACGAGTCATCAAGAAGAAGGCCAAACATGTTCAAAAGAAGAAGAAGAAGAAGAAGAAGAGGAGGAAAAGAAGTTAGTTCAACGAACTATAGAACGAACCCTCCAAAGTAGAAAGAATGTAAGATTGCGCATCAAACGCACCGAAATCGGCGATCTTGACGTTTTGATGCGAGTCGTCGAGCAGAAGGTTCTCCGGCTTCAGGTCCTGTCAGAATGGGAAAATGGGCGTAAATTATTATTATTATTATTATAAAACATGAGGAGACGCGTGGAAAAGCCGCAAACGATCGTTTCCTAAAGTGTGTGTTGTGTGTGTTGTGTGTGTTGTGTGTGTTGTGTGTGTTGTGCGTGTGTGTGTTCGCCTGCGTACCCTATGTACAATCCTGTGCCGGTGGCAGTAGTCCACGCCTGATATGATCTGCTGGAAGAAGCGCCGCGCGTCGTCTTCCGACAGCTGGAAAAAAAAGATAAGGAATGTTAAATGAGCAATTATCGAGAAATATATAAATAAATATGAATATGAATGTAAATATAATATATAAATAAATAAAGTGGAGGGTATGGTGAACGATGGTGGTGGTCATGTGAACCTTGCCGTGAGACACGATGTAGTCGAACAGCTCGCCGCCCGACACGTACTCCATGATCATGAAGATGTCTGACGCCGTCTCGATCACCTCGTACCTATCGTGTGCGTCGTTTAACACGTAGTACCAGCACGTGGTGAATATAATATATATATATATATATAGATATATCACATTCTAAGATATATGTATATAGAGACAGAATAAATAAAAAGAACGGGTGGTGGTACAGCTTGATGATGTGCGAGTGTCGGAGGAATTTGAGCATTTGGATCTCGCGCTGGATCTTCTCGTCCATGCGCGGGAGGGCCTTGATCTTCGACCGGTTCAGTATCTTGATCGCCACCTTGTGCCCCGTCACCTCGTGCTCCGCCACTGCATCGCCACCCACCCCAAACAAACAACGTCGTAGCACACAACCGCACACACGACACACGACACACGACACACGGCACGACACAAACCAGCGTGAGGGGTGAGTAGGGAGGAGAAGAGAGAAACGGAAGGGGGACAAAGGTGGTGGTTGGTGGTGGTGTGAGACCTTTGACCTTGCCGAAGGAGCCCACGCCCAGCGTCTTGCCCAGGCGGTACATGCCAATGCGCAGCACGCTGCGTTCGTTCGACATCTGCCACGACGAGTAGCAGTCGTCAGCAATCAGATATTTTTTCTCCTCGATGATGAGAGCGTGGCACTGGTTTCTTTTGATGATGATGATGAATTGAGAGAATTATAAATGAATGAAAATAGCTTGCATATTGCAGAACAGAACGGTGTGTACAGAATAGTAATAGTAATCGTAGTTTTTAAAGGGGGGCATGTTGAAAGATTTTTGTGAAAACGTAGCACGTACAGATTTGTCCTTGGCATTCACACCGGTTCGCATCATCTCTGGCGAGATCTCGGTTCAAACGGCCCCTCAAATGAAACCTGGCTCGCGAATCGTTGTCAACTGAGTTGATCTGCGCCACGCCGCTCCTTGTCTGTAACAAAACAGATAAATAAAAATAACATTCATTTATCTGTTTTAATTCGTCCTTTCCGTCGGAATCTCCGTGTTGGTTCCAGGTGCCTAGTGAATGAAATTTCGCCATAGAACAAAATGTTAAATAATGCAATTTTCGAACGTTTGGTCCATCGCCCTCGCCCACTCGCTCAGCGTCGTCGCCCTCCCCTTCGCTTTTGTCTCCTCCTCATCGCCTTCACTTTTTGCTGTCGCTTTCGCTTTTCCCCACCAGCAATTGGTAAGACTATGAACCCGTCGCACCGTGAGCTGGCCACGGCAATGCATGGAGTGTGGCTTTGCGGTCATGTTACAAGGCAACCTTACCCCCACGAAGATTCCTGGTGGTGGCCAGGTTGTGTGTTGTTGCATTTCGATAGAAGAAGTGAAGTTGCCTGAAATTCTGGTTTTGCCTTAACGCTGGGCTTGATCTCAAGTCCTGAACCTCCCCTGCAGCTCTCTCCGTCCTTCTTGTGCTTTCCAAGAAAGAAGGTGTCTCAATATATCTTGGTTGGTATGATCTTTCTTTTCATATATTATTGTTTTTATTATTGCGCCCCGACAACCCCACCTTTGGGCGGTACTTCTACCCTAGTGACACCAATCAATTAATCAATCAATAATGGGCGCCAGCGGATCGCAACCTGTTGTGACCTACGACGAGGCCGTCAAGCGACGTGCGTGCCCCCCTCTTCTCAATCATTGAAATGAACCATTAACATATTTATTTTCATTGATTTAAATTTCAACAAAATCGTGGCCTACCAGTGCCCGAGGAATGGCTGGAGGCCGTGCGCCTCAGCTTTCAGGAGATGTCCAAACACAACAAGGACCTGTCTGGTACTGCCCCCATTTTTTTAAATAAATAAATAAATTGCATTAATAATGAGTTGATTTTACTTCTTCCATAATGCATTTGATATTTCAGAATAATTAATCAATTTAATAAACAAAAAAAAATGCAGGCAAGGTGACGAAGCAGCAGTTCAGGGAGTTCTACGGCGCCAAGGTCATCTCCCACCTCGGCCCCATCTTTGACCGCCTCTTCGAAGTGCTGGGTTGGCCCACTCCCCACGCGTTGTGTGCGGCGTGCGTGTGCGGCGTGTGCGGCGTGTGCGGCGTGTGTGTGCGGTATTGGCTTACACACTCGCTGGCTGGCTTGGGGCCGGAGCAGACCAGGACGGGGACGGGTCGGTCGACTTTGAGGAGTTCATGAGTGGCATGTTCATCTTCGGCCGCGGTTCGCGCGAGGAGAAGCTCAAGTGTACGACACATACGACACACACACACACACACACACACACAACCGCACACACTCACCGCACACGCACAATGCAATACGACACGACACGACACACGCGACACGACACGACACACGCAGTTCTCTTCAAGCTGTACGATATCAACGGGGACGGGCTGCTCAGCCGCGAGGAGTTCGACAAGATGCTCCGCGGCTCCCTCAAGGCCACCCAGGCTGCCATGGTATCCCGCCCCCGCCCGCCCCCGCCCGCCCCCTCCCGCCCCCTCCAGCCCTCTCGCCCCCGTCCGCCCCTCCGTGACAGTGATTTGTGGGGGGGGGCGATGACAGGGTGCGCTGCTGCTGACGGAGACGACGGAGTACAACGACCTGGTGTCGGCCGTGCGGCGCAACCTGAAGGAGAGCGGGCCGCGGATCACGTACATCATCGACTCGATCTTCAACGAGACCGACCTCAACCGCGACGGCTACCTCTCCTACGACGAGTTCAAGCAGTGGGCCACCGGCAAGGGCAAGGACGACCTCCACATCGACCAGTGGATGGACTCCCTCCTGCCCCAACGTACCGCACACACCGCACACGCCATACCGCACACGCCGCGTGAGGGGGCGGGTGGGGGCGGGTGGGGGCGGGCTGGAGGGGGCTGACGGGGGCGGAGGGAGACAGGGATCGAGCAGCTGAAGCTGGCGGACGAGAAGGGGCCGAACCCGAAGGAGGAGGCCACCCTGCTGGCCGAGGACATCCGGCTCGATGCCACGTCGTCCCGCTACGTGCAGGTCCTGCCCGACGGCCGCACCGTCAAGTACACCGGGTTCGGCCGCACACACCGCACACGCGCGCAGCACACGCCTGACCGCACACGCCTGACGCACACACCGCACACGCGCGCACAGATCGGGAGTGGATTTGCATGCGTCGAGCGGGTACCAGACGGGCCTCGTCCACCCTGACGTGATGGTGGACACCGACCTCTCGTCCCTCTTCTACTTCGAGTTCACCCTCACCGATGCCGGCCTCACCGGGTACCCGCCCCCTCTATCCCGCCCCCTCCCGCCCCCTCTCACGCAGCGGGTGCGGTTTCGGGCGTGTGCGGTGTGTGCGGTGCGGTTGCAGAGGGAACGCGATCGGGTTCTACCCGGCCGACGAGACGCTGTCCGGTGCGCCCGGGTGGTACCACAACTCCTACGGCTACCACGCCGACGAGGGCTGTCGCTACTTCCGTACCCGCCCCCTCCCGCCCCCTTGCGTGTCGTTCCCACGTACTGACGCGTGTGCGGTCGGGCGTGTGCGGTCGGGCGTGTGCGGTCGGGCGTGTGCGGTCGGGTGTGTGTGTGCGTGCTGTGTGATGCGAAGAGATGAAGAAGGAGGTGTTCAAGGATGGGTCGCGGTACACTGAGCGCCCGTGGGGCACGGGCGACGTGGTGGGCGCCGGCATCAACAAGGACACCATCTTCTTCACCCGCAACGGCAAGAGACTCGGTGCGTGCACACGCACCGCACGCACCGCGCACGCCTTGAACCGCACACGCACACGGGCTGATGAGTAGTGTGTGTGTGTGTGTGTGTGTCATGTGCCGTGCGTGTCGTGTGCAGAGCCGTCGTACACGCGGGTGCAGGGCGTGTTCTATCCGGTGGTGTGCTTCACCAGCCCGGGCGCTGTCGGCGTCTGCAACTTTGGCGAGAAGCCCTTCAAATACGACCTCGGCGTACGCCACGAGCTCCACAATTCACACACACACACACTGTTTATCACTCACCGCACGACACGACACGACACGACACGACACGACACGACACGACACGACACGATACGACACGACACGACACGATACGACACGACACGACACGACACGCACGACACGCAGGCGCCGCAAGAGTCGAACAGTCTGAGGATTTCGGTGGTGAAGCCCCGAGGAGACAAGCGCGAGTGAGCCCCACCAGGCGCAATTGCGGTACAGAGAAGAAATGAGAACAAAATAATTTTATAATGACAGACCCCTTCGCCCTTCTTTCATAAAAAATGGCAATCAGGCGCGACCGTAGCGGGCAAAGCTGGTGAATACGACGCTGGGCGCGCGATTGTTGTTGGTGCCATGCAGCTCGAACACGACCACCTCGTTGTCGCCCACGCGCAGCAGCGGGGCCGGCACATACAGCGATTGCTGCGGCCCAATCTTCCAATACCTGCGTGTGCGCACACGCGTGTCAGGACACACGACACGACACGACACGACACGACACGACACGTGTGTGTGAGACGTGCCTGCCGAGGTTGAAGCCGTTGATTAGGGCAAAGCCTTTGGTCCACCCGGGGAGCTCAAGGAAGGTGTCGTTGAGCTGCGCGGCCGAAGCGATGTGCAGGTTGCCCCGGAAGAAGGTCGGGCCGGCGAACGGCGCCGCACTCAGCTGACCGAACGGCACACCTGAACACGCGACACGACACACACGGTGAGTGCGCACACGACACGACACGACACGACAGGCGCGCGCGTGTGTGTGCGGTGCGTACGGGTGAGGTCGTCGAAGGGGAGTGCGCGCATGGTCCAGTGGTACAGGAACTGGCTTCCGATCCGCACGCCCTCCGTAATACCCTTCCTGTCCGCCAACCATGGCCCTGTGCGTGCGTGTGCGGTTAAGCGTGTGTCGTGTGTCGTGTGTGTCGTGTGTGTGTCGTGTGTCGTGTGTCGTGTGTCGTGTTGCGTGTTGCGTGTTGCGTGTTGTGTCGTGTGTTGTGTCGAGGTACCAAAGTTGATGCGTCCCATGTTCTCGACGAGGAGGTCGAGCTTGTGGGCGCCGGGGCCGGCCGAGATGCTCAGCTGTAGCGTGGCCGACCGCTGGAGCACGCCCTTGTAGGCCCCGTCGACGAACACGAGCGCGCGGTCGGCCAGGTCCTGCACGAAGAGCTTGTCGCTGAGCGGGCCATCGAAGGTGGCGCTGTAGAGCACGAAGCCGAAGTTCTGGTGGAGCGCTTCCATGGGGAGCGTGGTGGCGCTCTCCACGGTGCGGGCCGTCACGCTCTGCAGCACCGCCGCGTCGAACAGGAACGCGCTTTGCGTCATCGCCAACTATTGCATCGACGCCGCACCACACACAGCACACACAGCACACACACACAGCACACACACACACAGCACACACACACACAGCACACACACACACACACACACACACACACACACACACACACACACGACGGTAAGTTAAAGTTAGGGGAAAGAGCGAAAGAGAAGATAGAAGCGAAGGGGTAGAGGGGGGGGGAGTACCGAGCCATAGGCGAGCTTGGGGGCGGGAGGCGGAATGGGCACGGGGGGCGCCCCGATGAAGCGGCTGATGAGCGCCCGGAACGTCGCGCACTTTTGCGTCGCATCTCCCTGCCACCCCAAGAAAGGCCGTTTAGCTCGTCGTATGCGTGTGCGGTGTGTGCGTGTGCGGTGTGTGCGTGTGCGGTGGTGCGTGTGCGGTGGTGCGTGTGCGGTGGTGCGTGGTGCGTGTACCGATTCATTGACGGGAGCGTCGTAGTCGTAGCTTGTCGTAGTCGGCTGGTACGGATCAGTCTCTGCGCAAGCATCGAATTAAGCACACACACACACACACACACACGACACACACGACACACACGACACACACGACACGCACGACACGCACGACACACACACGTACCGCCGTAGCCCTTGTTGGCGCCGTTGGTGAAGCCGAAGTTGGTGCCGCCGAAGGCCATGTAGAGGTTGACGGAGGCGTTGTTGCTGAGGATGGCCTCCAGGGTCTTCATCGACTGCGTGGGCGTCGTCGTGTGGTGCTCCTCGCCCCAGTGGTCAAACCATCCGTCCCTTTTTTCGTAATTCCAACCATCAGCGCACGACACGCACACGAACGACACGCACAACACGACACACGACACACACACGAACGCACGCACGACACGACACACGACACACGACACGCACACGCACACGGCACACGACATGCATAACACGACACACGGTACCAGAATTCGGTGACGAAGAGCGGGCCGGAGGGCTGGTACTTGCGGAGGACCTTAAGGTTCCCCTCGACGTCGGCCCCGGTCCCGAAGTTGACGGTGCGCAGCAGGCTCGGCAGCGCACCGCCCACAAACATCTGATCGCCCGCCCTGTACACGTCAGCAAACGAAGTTAAGGTGGCGTTCGGATTAGTTAAGGTGGCGCTGGTTAAGGTTAAGGTGGCGGATGACGGGGGAGCACCCGTTGGAGGAGAAGAGGATGGCGTCGATCTGGTGCTGGCGGAACTTGAGCTCCAGGTGGCGCAGGTAGAGGTGGTCGTTGCCGTAGCTCCCGTACTCGTTCTCCACCTGCATCGCGATGATCGGACCACCTGCACCCACCAACAACCATCAGAATGCAAAGCATTCGCCCATGCATGACACGACACGCACACGCACACATGACACATGCGCGTACCGCGAGAGTACTGGTAGGTGGCGAGCATGGGGAGGAAGTGGTCGAGAAAGCTGTCGACACGCTTCAGGTACTTGGGATCGGAGCAGCGCAGCTGCAGGCCCTCCTCGTTCAGGAGCCACGCTGGCAACCCGCCGAACTCGAGCTCTGATCAACGCGGCGTTCGTTCGTTCGTTCGGAGTTAAAAAAACACAGTTCGGAGCTAAAACGTTGGGTTGGGTACGAACCAGCGCAGATGTAGGGCGGCGGGCGGACGATGACGAGAAAGCCCTCCTGCTGGGCGGCCTCGATGAAGCGGACGATGTCCAGCCGACCGCTGAAGTCGTACTGGCCCGGCGTCGGCTCGTGCAGGTTCCACGGCACGTAGGTCGTCACTGGCCGCCGCGTTCCACGAACGACACGACACGAACAGTTGAGTGTGTCGTGTGTGTCGTGTCGTGTGTCGTGTGTGTCGTGTGTGTCGTGTGTGTCGTGTGTGTCGTGTCGTGTGTCGTGTGTCGTGTGTGTCGTGTGTGTCGTGTGTCGTGTTGTTGTACCGGTGTTGAGGCCGCACGAGCGGAGGGTGCGGAGGCGCGCGGGCCACTGCTCGGGGAGGGACCGGAAGTAGTGGATCGAGCCGCTCACAATCCTGAACTCCTGGCCATCCTTCACAAACGCATTCCCTGTGCGCGTGCGCCGGGTGTGTGCGTGCGTGCGTGCGGTGGTCCGTGTGCGCAATGTGCAGTGTGTGCGGTCATGCGTGTGCGCAGGTTGACCAAAAGAGCGAAAGCGAGGAGAGGGGGGGGGGCAAACCTGAAACGACGAAGGAGCGCGCGGCAGGCGCGGGGCCGGGGAAGGGCGGCAACGAGTCGCCAGCCGCGAGAGGAAGCGCCAACCCTGCTTGGGGCGCCCCCCAAAGATGAAGAGAGAAAGTGAATCTCCCAACTCAATAACTCCTTCTAAAAATGAATGGGGTGAGCGAGAAGAAGCGAACCCAACAAGCAGGAGAGCCCAACAAGGACCTGGGTCCATTGGCGCACTGCCATCTTCATCTTTTTGGTTTCACTTTTGCGCGCCAGTGCAGGGACCCAACAATATTATATTTCCAGCCGTCATTGTGGTTCGTCACCACACTTCTTAAGAAACAGCTGTGCGGATTGTTTTAACTTCGCTGAACTGCCACAAGTTCAGGTACCGACTGCAACGCAATCACCTTCAGTTGCACTCTACACCTCTCGTAGCTACCGACTATCATGGCGTCACCATCATCGGCAGCTCCGCCACCGGCTTCATCGTCATCGATGTCGTCGTGGCTCTCATCGTCGTCGTCTTCGTCATTGATGTTCACGCGGGTGGAGACGGTGGTGGTGAGCGCCCGCGTGACCGGCCAGCGCGTGGAGCTCTCCCACCGCGACTTCAGCGGCGGCCAGGCCGGCGGCGGGGTGCTGTCGCCGGAGGTGGTGCGCGACGTGCTGGCCAAGAACGCCCACACGCCCGTGGTCGTGCTCGTGCTCCGCTCGTGCAAGCTGGCGGCGTTGCCGCGCGAGCTGGGCCAGCTCACGTTTCTCCACGAGCTGGACGTGTCCGACAACCTGCTCACCGACCTGCCCATCGAACTCGTCGCCCTCACCAGTTCGTTGCACAACCCCCTCCCCTTGCTTTCTTATTTTTTATTTTTAAAAAAATTGCTTTTACTGGCGCAATAAGTAATAAGCAAAATAGTATCAGCAATAAATTAATAATAAGCAAAATTTAAAAAAATTTGAAGTAAGAAAGAGACAAAAGGATTTAAATTCTTTTTCCTCGTTATTCTATTTGGGCCGTGGCCATGGGCAGACTTGGCCAAGCTGACGCTGTCGGGCAACAAGTTCAAGGAGCTGCCGGTCTTCATTGGCCACCTGCCCGGCCTCCTCCACCTCCAGGTACCGCCCCCACTCCCTCCTTGCATCGACCTTGCCCCGTTCGTCGCCTAACAAGTGGTGCTGACACCGATGACGATGGCGTGGGCGCGGTCGTGGGCGTGACAGGTGCTGGGGATGCCCACCCTCACGACGCCGCACAACCTGCTTCGCCACGGCACCGAAGCCATCTGCGCCTATCTCCGCTCCTCCTTCGTCAGTAAGTCCCTCCTGTCGTCGCGTGTGTCGTATCTCGTGTGAAAGTCGTGTGTGTCATGTCGTGTGTGTCGTGTGTGTCGTGTGTGTCGTGTGTGCGTTGCGGCTGCTTTACGGTACCACGTGGGCTGAGGGCTGACAAGCAATGAACTTTCTCTCTTCTCTCTCTCTTCTCTCTCTCTTGTGGTGCGGCCTCACGCACACACACAGCGCTGGAGGAGAAGCAGGGCGAGCTGGAGCTGCACGTGCGCGAGACCTTCAACGTGGCCAAGCACGCCGACATCTGCTTCGTCGTCGACGGTGAGCCCATCCACGCCCACCGCCTCATCATCGGCCTCCGCATCGCGTCGCCCATCTTCGAGTCCTTCCTCGCCTCGCCCAACAAGTACTACTTATTATAATTATATTAATTTATATTATCATCATTATCATTATATTAATTTTATATTATTAGCCATTTATATATTTGTTTATTTGTTTATTTGTTTTTATGTATTTAATTGGTCGACAGGGAGCACAAGATCGAGGGCGTGGGCGCGGAGACGTTCGTGCGGCTGCTGCGGTTCGCCTACGGCAACGGCCTCTACGACCCCCTCAAGTCGCCCCTCGAGAACCGGGCCTTCCTCGCCATGCTCGACACCCTCCAGATCACCACCTTTGGCCGCAACCACGTACGCAACCCGTGCATACGTGTGTCGTGTGCGGTGTTGTGTGCGTGTGCGGCGTGTGCGCTTACACACAAAGAGCACTCGCTGCGCACAGAGACTGGTGGGGACGGGAATGATCATCAAACGAACGGACGCGATGCTGCGCGACGACTTCATACGACTCTTCCACACGGCCAATCGCATTTCATACACACCCACCACCACCGCCGCCGCCTCGACATGCGATGTCGATGAGCCGCCATCACCAGCGCCTCCGACGCCAACAGACCAGGCGTCGGAGCCAAAACCGCCGCAGCCTGCAGAGGCCCAGCCTGCGTCGGACCTAAAACCTGTGCAGCCGCCGCCCGAGACCCAGCAGGGCACGACCAAACGCCGGGGCAAGCAGAAGCGGGAGACCCGGGCCGAGCGCGAGATGCGCGTGTTCGCCGAGGCCCAGGCCCGGCGCGCCGCAACCGAGCGCCAGCGCGAGCTCGAGGCTCAGGCCGAGCGCGATAAGGCCGAGCGCCAGGCGCGGGTCCGGAGCGAGCAGGCCCAGGCCGACGAGCTGGCCAAGAAGGCGCAGGTGGAGCGCGAGAGGCAGGCGGCCGCGGCAACAGCGGAGACGGCGGCGGCGGCGGCGAGGGCCGCGAGCGGGTTGCTGCCGCCCGGGACGCTGCTCAACGAGGCGTTCCTGCGACGACACGGCTGGTTCGCCGACCTGCGCGTACGATGCGCGTCTGATGTGAGAGGCGGCGGCGGCGGCGAAAGTGAAGAAGACGAAGAAGAAGAGGCACAAGTGGAGAACGAAACGGGGCACGGCGTGTTCGTGTGCCACAAGTTCCTGCTGTGCGTGCGATCGCCGTATTTCCAAGGTATATGCGTGTCGTGTCGTGTCGTGTCGTGTCGTGTCGTGTCGTGTCGTGTCGTGTCGTGTCGTGTCGTGTCGTGTCGTGTCGTGTCGTGTCGTGTCGTGTCGTGTCGTGTCGTGTCGTGTCGTGTCGTGTCGTGTCGTGTCGTGTCGTGTCGTGTCGCTGACTAAAGGTCTTGGCGTGAGTGCAGCCAAGTTCGAGGGCGGCATGTCCGACGCGCTCGATAAGGAGATCGTCATCGATGAGTTCGAACGAGACCCCATCTCTCAGATGCTTCGGTACCACATCATCACACGACACTCACACCAAGACTCAAACTCAACCAACCAACCAACCAACCAACCAACCAACCAACCAACCAACCAACCAACCAACCAACCAACCAACCAACCAACCAACCAACCAACAACACACAACGTAACACGACACGACACGACACACGATATCTTACCTCCTATATTTCGTGTTATTACATATATGTGGCGCAGATTCCTGTACACTGACGAGCTTACGGTCAACTCGGACAACGCACAGGACCTGCTCGAGCTCTCCGGTCATTACCAACTGTACGCCCACATACCCTTCTTATCTTCTGCACTGCATTGTGCGTCGTGTGTGTCGTGTGTGTCGTGTGTGTCGTGTGTGTCGTGTGTGTCGTGTGTGTCGTGTGTGTCGTGTGTGTCGTGTGTGTGTTGAACATGTCCTTTGCATATTCGCAACTGATTGGTATGGTGTGGTATGGGCAGGGAGCGGCTGCGATCGGTGGTGGAGAAGTTCTTCGGCGACAACATCGACCACGACAACGTGCTCTCGCTGCTCCACCTGGCCGACCACTACCAGGCCTACCACCTCAAGGTCTTCTGTACCTCCTACATCTTCAAGCACCAGGACGCCATCACATCCTGCGGTGCGTTCCCCCCCCACCCACACCGCGCGCGCGCCCTCACACACCACACGCACGCACACTCACAAGTGGTGGGCAACAGCTGAGTGGGGCGAGTGGCGCAAGGAACATCCGGAGCTGTACAGCCAGCTCCTCCGGCTTCTGCAGTAAAATAAAATCCAACCAACATTGTTAGTCAGACCGTCACGACGTGCACGCGGGTGGAGATGGTGGTGGTGAGTGCTGCGTGGCAGCTGGCCCACCCCGACTTCAGTGGCGGCATGCTGTCGATGGAGGTGACCTCATGGCCAAGAAGGCCCACCCGTCCGTGGTCATGCTCGTCTGTGCTCGTGCAAGCTGGCACATTCCCTCCTTGCTGAGCAATGATGGGGTTGTGGCACCACTATTGTGTGTGGACCAGGCCTACCACCTCAAGGTCTTTTGCACCTCTTACATCCTCAAGCGCCAGGACGCCATATCTTCCCGGGTGCGCCATCTGCATCACACACGCACCACACACACACACACACACCACGCCAATGCCACACGCACTCACAGCACCATTGGGGGGGGGTAACAGCTGAGTGGGGCCTGTGGCGCAAGGAATCCGGAGCTGTACCGCCAGCTCCTCCACACCCACACACGCACTTCCGACAAAAAACACAACGCAAAGCGTAGAACAAAATTGTGGCATGGCAGCAATAAATAGTGGTGATCGCACACGCTCTCTCTCGCGTGTCGTGTTGGTGTGTGTCGTGTGTGCTTCTCGTGTTGTGCGGCCCGGGTCTCCACACTTTTGTCTTAACTGCGCACCCGGCTTCGGGACGAGGAGAAGACGTCGTCCTCGCCGCCGCTGTTGAACTGGTCGCCGATGACTTCGTAGCCCCGAATGAACGAACTGTGTGGCAGCGCCAAAAGTGAGTTCCGTGCGTGCATGCGTGTGCGGTGGTGCTTTTCGTGTGCGTATGCAGTGTGTGTGCGTGTGCGTGTGCGGTGTGTGTCGTGTGTCGTGTGGTACCGGTTCTTGAGGATGACAAAGACGAGCACCACGAGACCGATCGCGGCGAGGAGCGAGCCCACGGCGATGCCCACCCAGAACACCACGATTCGGATCGTGAGCAGCAGGTACACCTGGTCCTTGAAATCGCTCGCCTCCGAATCTGAACCACCACCACCATCAGCCCACATGTGTGCTGTTTGTGCGGCGTGTGCGGCGTGTGCGTGTGCGGCGTGTGCGTGTGCGGTGTGCGCGTACCGCCGATGGTGGCCTGTTGATTGGCGTAGAAGACGGGGTAGATGACCTCCTTGAGGAAGTCCTTGTTGTACAGATCGAGCGGCGACCCGGCGCTGGCCACGTAGATGTTGATCTGCAGCTGCTTGGCCACGTTCATCGCTGCAATGGAGGGGGCGAGAGGGGGGGCCGCCGGTTATCAGGGAGGGGGCGGCCGGATTGCGAATTACGGGGGCGAAAGGGGGCGGCGGGTTCTTTCGGAGGGGGCGGGAGGGGGTACTGTAGCCGGTGTAGGGCTCGATGTCGAGGACGGTGTCGTCGGCGTCGGAGGGCTGCATGCCGACCAGCTTGTCGCGCCACTCGGCCTCGCAGTCGAGCATGTTGGGCTTGCTGATGAAGATCGGCACATTCTACAGATTGTTGTGGATATATTAATGTATATATGAATGTTAGTATATAAATATATATACATAAATATAAATATGTTAGTAAAAGTATAACTATTTAAAAAAATTGATGTCGGAGCGTACGTTGTAGACGTGGGTCATGTTGGCGAAGCCGGTGATTGTCTGGTAGTACTTGGCCTGCGGCAGGAAAAACCTCCTCGACACGTGGTACCTGGGCGACGCGTGTGCGTGTGCGGTGAGCGCGAGTGCGGCGTGTGTGTGTCGTGTGTGCTTGTGTGTCGTGTGCGGCGAGTACCGGTAGAGGTCGATGCCCTTGAGGGTCACGCCCTCGTCGTAGTGGAGGGGGATCTGGCGCACCAGCTCGTAGCTCCACACCGTCAGCTCCTCGCCCGAGTCTGCCCCAGACGCGTCCCGCCGGTTAACCACCAAGAGCGTCGAAAAGCGAACAGCGAAAAACGAAATAAAGAACGAAAGAAAGAGGCGAGAGGTACCGAGGGAGGGGCGGAACTGCAAGCCCTCGGTACCGTCGACCCGCTCGGCCTCGGCCCACATCGTTCCCGCAGGATAGACGCGCACGCCTGCACCAAGAGAGTGTGAGCGACACGCACACACGCACACATGCGCACGCCGCACGCCGCACGCCGCACGCCACACGCCACACGCCACACGCCACACGGATGCATCATGAGACGAGGAACACACCGCAGTAGTCGATGTAGCGGGCGATGTTGTCGATGTTGCCCTTGCCGGTGTAGTGGAAGCTGGTGAATTCGCCGTTGAGGGCGTCCTTCTCGCTGGTCATGTTGGTGGCGAGCGCCACCGTGGCCGGCATGCCCAGCAGCTTCAGCAGCGGGTCCTCCGCGCCCCACAACCACTCCTGCGGCGTCCTAATTCGCCATAATTTTTGTTTACATCAATTTTTTAAATAAGGATTATTATAATATTATATTATACTTATTATTATATTATATTTATTATTCATAATTATTATTATTGAATTGTTAATTATTAAAAGGGTAATAACGTACTTGGTGGTGATGAGTCCGCCGCCAGCGGCGAAGACCTGCTGCAGCGCGGCGTCCACGAACGTCTCGCCGATGTAGCCCAGGTACTGGGCCACCTGCGTGTGTCGTGTGGTGCGTGTCGTGTGGTTATTTGGTCGTGTGTCGTGGTGGCGGAGGCCGGAGGCCGAAGAACGGAGGACGTAGTGTGGTGGTGGCGTACCTGACCGGCCTGAGCGAGGCTCAGCTGGAACTGCTGCTGCAGGGCGGCCTCGTTGCCGGTGGCCACCAGGTACAGGAAGGTGCCCAAATTCGTCGAATCGAACAGACCGCTCGTGCCTGCACAAAAGCCCCAAATAAATCATAAATAATAATTAACCAGATATAAAATGAAAATAATTATTACAAATATCAAAAAGAATGAAATAGAAATTAAAATAGAAACAGGAACAAAAAAATAATGAAGGAACAAGATACCATTGAGGAGGGTGCGGCTGAAGGCGGGGTCGAAGGTGATGGCGGCGGGGCCGAACTTGTCCTGCGCCCAGACGGCGAACTCGGGGATGCCGGCGAGCGGCGGAATGAGCGAGCTGCCGGCCAGCAGCTTCTGAACGCTCGTCCCGTTGGTGACCGACCCAGTGCCCCTGCACCATTTGTTAGTGCTTGTGCCGTGTGTGCCGTGTGTGTGCCGTGTGTGTGTTGCGTGTCGTGTGTGCCATGTGTGCGGTACCATTGGAGATAGAAGAGGTCGTCGAGGCTGGTGACGTTGAAGGTCTGGAAGACGTAGGTGGCGCCCGTGGTCATCAGGAACTTGGAGCGCCACGCGAGCACCATCTGCAGCTGGGCCGGCTCCAGGCTGAACACCTGCGCCAGCGTCTGCAGAGAGGTCGGGTCTACACAACAACACAACACCACACCAATAAGCCCGTGATTCCTGTGTCGTGTGTAGTGCGTGTCGTGTGTCGTGTGCGGGTCGTGTTGTGCGTGTCGTGTGCGTGTCAAAGAAGAGTACCCTGGAGGTAGGTGGCGGCAAACCAGAGGAACGCCGAGGTGTAGGTCGAGTTGACCAGGTTGGGCAGGGGACTCGCGGGGTTCCAGAGCGCGTCGACCACCTCAGCCGACAGGTTGGAAGCCGGGGCGCCTGCGACAGCCCATGTATTTACACGTACGCGCGGGGAGTGTTGATGAAGTGGTCGTCAGCGTCGAGTCGGTGCGGGCGCGAATGGTACGCACCCTGCGAGAGGACGCCGAGGGTCTGCCAGAGCTGCTGGTCGGGCGCGGTAGCGTTGGCCCACGTGGTGGCGAATATCTGTTGAATGTTGAAATTAATCGAAAATTAAGTTCAATTGTTTTTAAATAAACAAATAAATAATAAAAGCCGTTAAAAATAAATTAATATAAAAATTAATATAAAAATTTATGTACCTGTTGGGCGACCTCTGAGGAGACGTTCTGGGTGTTCTCGATGGCCTGCAGCACTCCAGCGCGCACCACCGGCAGCGCCTTCGACGTCGTGACCTCCGCGATGATCAACCTGGAGTGCATTCATCACACTCAGCCAACACCGCACACGACTCAACACGACCAACGACACGACACGACCCACGACGACACTCCATCGCACACGACACGAGGCTGTGGTGTTGTGTTGTGTTCGTACCCAAAGGGTTGGCCGAGGTTGGTGAAGAGCTGGAGGAGCGTGGGGCCGGTGAGGGCGCGGACGAGGTTCTGCTCGCCGCCCACCTTGGCCAGCACGGCCAGGTAGGCCGAGTTGAGGTTGGTCACGCGCAGGCTCGGGTCGTCGGGCCGCCCGTTGGACAGGCGCTCGTCCAAGATGTAGTAGATGTACTGCGCGTAGTAGACCTTCTCGCCATCATCGACGAAGGTGACGTTGACGCGCTTGACGAATCGGCGGTAGACGAAGGGTCCGACGCGCTCGTAGCGAGGTGCCACCACCTCCTCGTCTTGTCGCTCTTTCGCGCCATTTTCGGATGGCGAAGATGAAGAAGTAGCAGAAGAAGATGAAGATGAAGATGAAGATGATGAAGAAGAGGCATTGCGAAGATCGTCGGCGTTGGTGAGGTTCCATAGGTAGTACTTCATGTACTGGGGCGTCTTGTCGGCTGGAATGCCGTTAAACTCCCATTCGGGGTAGCCCGAATTGGACTTCGAATCGACGACGAGGAAGTCATTGATACGGTATTCGAGGTAGTGATCGAGGTAGACGTTCATCGATACGCCTATGGCGATGAAGATGAGGCCCAGCACGAGGGCCGCCAGAGATGCCACGAACTTCCATTTGAGGCCCGGGGCGCAGTTGGCCCAGGTCGAGCTGACCCGATGCATCGCGAGATTTTCCGAAATCGAAAGCGATTCGGTGAGGGATGTGTTCCCTGATGCAAGCCGGAGTGACCCAAAGGAGCAAGGGCACACAAGCGCTCTTCTATCGTGTCCTGAAGATGAAGGAAATGCAAGTGCACGATAAATAGGGATAATGAAATAGAATTTTCACAATCATATTCCTTCAGCAGCTGGCTATTGGCCAAGATTTGCAGCCCAAGGCTCAGTTGCATTGGTGCTTGTCCATGCGAGACAAACAGGCCATCTCTGCCCATCATCAATCCAGCAGGTGTCATCCATACTGTCAGGTACCTATACACCCGCGCTGCCACCTGACCCAAACAAGTTCATCATTACCCCCAACGTTCTCCTGCTGCAGGGAATCTACGGTGGTGCAGTGGAGTGCGTCAACAGTAGGGTGCTTGCTGTGGCACATGCCTCTCTTGTATCTGGTGGTACCTTGCGTGGTGTGTATGTTCCGTCTGGTTTTGAGATAGGGTGTTTTCCGGGTGGTGATTTCTCTTGTCCACTATTACTAAAATCGGGGGTCCTGGTTTTAGTAATAGAGGAACGTTTTAAACGACGGACCAGTGGCAACAGTAGCAACAGTCACGCGCACTGGCTAACACAACAAGACAAAGCTTAGCACGCACGACATGACTACTAACATCAACATCAACCACGATAGCATTTCTTCATCTTCTGACGAACGCCCTGTCAACGCGGCCGCCCGCGATGCTCTGACTGGGGTAAGTTCGCTATCCATCTCTGACCATCCACGAAATCGATTGTGACCAATCTTTATGTCATCGTCGACCTTCAACATGGTCGACATGTTTCCTTGTTAGCTCAAGCCAATCACTTTCATCTTTCTTGTTAAAGGTTGCTGGGTTTGCCAGGGCGGTGCTGGCTCTCAGCCAGTATGCGCTGGCCGAGGGCTTAGATGAAGAGCTCTCCCAAGCCCTGCTCGATGAGATGTTCTGCCTCAGGGAGCAGGTGGGCCTCCTCGCCAATCTGCCGCCTATCAACAGTACCTCCCCCCATGTCTGGCGTGTGTCAGATGATTGCTGTAACTGAGGGATCTGACGCGCCGTTGGACACAAAAAGAACGAAAGCGTAGGACGCAACAAAGATCGAAAGAGAAGAGCTGCGGTTCGTGTGGCAGGGAGCGAAGCGTGCGATGGCGACGAGTCCGCCTCACCCAAGGGTCTGCGTGGTACACCCCTACCGCCCTCCTCCTGCCGGGCGTCTGTTCTCACTGTAGCTTCCTTCGTGGTCGGGCGCAGGGAGTGCCACACCTGCCACGCCCGTCGGTAGAATCCTCGGTTGGCAAAAGCCTTTGACCGCAGGTCAGCAGATCCACTTTCTTGGTGGTTAAAACAACAAAAAATGAAACGAAGCTAGACCAAGATCTCAAACGATAGAACCCACGTCGGTTCTGACACACACCACAAAGAATGAAATTTACATGTAAATCAAACACGGCGCAAGCAGTTTATTTCTACCACCGACCGATGGGGGTGGGCCGCTTGAAGTAGACGCCGAGGCTAGACGTCGCCAGGCACACGGCAAGGAAGATGAAGATGACATTGTAGTTGCCCTGTTTGATGTCGCGTTCACACACAAATACATTAGTACCGCACAACACACAACCGCACGACACAACACACACACACACGCACCATTTGCTGTTTGATGACTTCGGCGACGTTGGGAATGATGAAGGTGGCGCCGGTGGCGCCCAGCTGAATGTAGCCGAAGTAGAGGCCGAAGTTGACGTGGCCGTAGAAGTCGCCCACGATGATGGGCACCACGGACAAGAACGTGCCGAAGCAGAAGCCCACGCTCACCAGACATATCACAAATACCACCTGCAACCCGCACGCGTGTGCGCACACGCACGTTAGGTGTGTGGGTGTGTGTGCACGTGTGTGTGGTGTGTATGGTGCGGTGGAGTACCTGAGCGGCGGCGGTGGGATCGGAGACGCCGTAGGAAAGGCCGATGAGGATGATGTAGACGACCGCGTCGAACAGCAGCACCAGCGACAGCAGCTTGTTACGCGGGTAGCGGAACTGTGCGTGTCGTGTCGTGTCGTGCGTTAACATCATTAGGAATGTAAGGCACATGACGTGTAACACGACACGCTCGTACCCTGGACCAGAGGAAGTCGGTGGCGAAGCCCGAGACGATGTTGGCCACGGTGTTGGTGATGGAGAAGGCAGTGGTGATGTTCACCGCCCAATCCGCATCCTTGCCGTTGGTGAACGTCGTCCAGATCGATTTGTTGGCTGTAAAGAAATATTGTGTTAGCCACACACACGCACACACACACACACACACACACACACACACGACACGCACGCACGAGACGCGCACGAGCGCACACGCAGACGTACAGGTGATGATGAACACGGCCGAGGAGATGCCGGCAAAGTTGCCGAGGATGAGGAACCAGAAGAAGATGTTTCGCATGGTGTGGAGCGAGTAGAAGAGCGACACGGGCGTGTTGTGGCGGCCGTCGATCAGGTCCTGGTGGATCAGGTCGGCCTTGCTGCTGCTGCTCACCGGCGGCAGGGTGTCCTCGCTGACACCAAACTCCTCCTCTTGAATTGCTGTTGTGTGTCGTTGGTCGTGTCGTCGTGCCGTGTCGTGTCGTGGTGAGGAATGTGTGGAACGAATGTAGTTTTTGTGGGTTCTCTCGGGGGCGTACGCGCGGGGGCCGGCTCGTCGGGCGGGAGCAGGCTGAGGCCGAAGCTGGGGACGAACAGGAAGATGGCGGTCGACACGGCCAGCGAGCGCAGGTAGTACGGCCAACAGCTGTCCGCCGAACAATCGAACACGTTCTTGTAGACTGGCACGGCACATGTCTGTGAGCTGCCGCGTCGTGTCGTGTGTCGTGTGTCGTGTGTCGTGTGTCGTGTGTCGTGTGTCGTGTGTCGTGTGTCGTGTGTCGTGTGTCGTGTGTCGTGTGTCGTGTGTCGTGTGCGTGTCGTGCGTACATTCAACGATTCCATTGGTCAATGCGAGCGACAGACTCATGCAGGCACCGACCATGGCAATGCCCAACCCTGTCATTAGAAAAATAAATATTAATTAGCAAATCATTAAATAATAGAATAAAAATAAAAATAAAAGTAATAGTTGGAATACCGGGGTAGCCAGGGATGGTCTTGAGGCCCGTGGAGAGGGCGGCGAGGAAGCTGGTGCCGCTGCCGAAGCCGACCAGCATGAGGCAGATGAGCATGGCCGCGTAGGACTCCTTGTCGGTGAAGGACATGCCGGCGTAGCCGGCCGACGTGAGCACGGCGCCGATGAGGCCCGTCCACATGGCCCCGAAGCGGTCGTTGACGTAGCCCGCCGGGAAGGTGAAGAAGAGGCCGATGATGCCCAGCGACGAGAGGAGGGTCATCAGGTTGTCGCCCAGCCCGGTGTCGTTCTGGATGTGGCTGGCGATCGTGTTGAACGCGTTCTGTGTCCCAAAAAATGATAAGTGATGTGTGTGCGGTGTGTAGTGTGTGCGGTGTGTGCGGTGTGTGCCGTGTGTGCGGGAGGAGCACCGTGGTGCCGGACTGCAGGCCGATGATCATGGCGCATATGAGAGCCACGGCGCGTCGGGCGATGATGATGTATCGCCGTCGTCGCTGCTCCTCGAAGCCATCTGCGCAACGCAACAAAGAATAAATATGATTAATTAATACAAAAAAATAAAATCAAGTATAACTTCTTGCGTAGTAGTGGAGATGGTGGTACCGCGGGTGACGAGCGGCGTCGTGAAGTCATCTTCGGTGTAGCTGTTGATGGGACCCTTCTCCATTTGATAAAATTTATACAATTATAAATTTTGAATTAAGCAATCGATTTCGATCCTTCTTCAGAATCTGAGGCCCGACTGGCGATCTATCGATTGGCGAACGAAGGAGGGAGCGATGTGATCCGTTGCGGGCGGTGGGTGCCGGAGAACATAAACACGAGAAAAGAAATATTCGCTGCCGAAAGCAAACCGCGACCGTCACGCCGACAAGAAAAGAAGGAATGGTCGATGTACGAGTCCACACAACCAACTCACTTAAAGGCCATCCCAGGCTATCGCCGACATCTGGACTATTGCCCTGAGTATTCTCTTAACATATGATAAAATAAATATCTTAAAAAAGATAGAAATAGAAATAACAAATAAATAAAATGTATTTGGGTGGTCTGATCAGACGCCGAGCTGCCAGAAGTAGTAGGAGACCCAGAACAGGGGCAGCCGCGCCAGTATGAACCCCACGTTGGGGTAGAAGAAGCTCCCGCCCCAGTGCTCCACCACCATCTTCGTGATCAAGATCTGCGCAGCACACACGACACGCACAGCACACACAGCACATGGCACACGTAAGAGACTCGAGCTCGAGCGTGCCAGCAGGTAAGCCATATCGCCCGACGTACCTGAGAAAAGTTGATAATGCCGGTGCTTGATAGAGTCAAGCCGTTGAGGGTGCCAAAATTGGTATCGCCAAACCTGTGTGTCGTGTTGCGTGTTGCGTGTTGCGTGTTGCGTGTTGCGTGTTGCGTGAGGCATAGGTAATAACATTTCGATGTTTTCAAACCGGCGCGATGCTGGCGTCGTACACTTTAGCGACGAATGCGTAGCAGGCCGAGAAGCCCAGCAGCCGGTAGGCCGCCCAGAAGGCGAAGGTCACGATCTGAAGCGGGAGCACCGGGATCAACGCCAACACGTTGATGCCTGCACAATAAAATAAAATAAAATAAAATAAAATACAAAAGTGTGAGCCGGTCCAGGCACGCACCGATGCCGAGGAGGTTGATGACGGCGTAGGAGAGGGCGAAGCCCTTCTTGTCCATCAGCCAACCGTAGATGGGAATGCCCAGCGCGCCCAGCGGCGTGATCACGTTGAGCAGCACCGTGTACGTGGCGTCTGAAAAAGAAAAAGAAAAAAGAATTATAATTTATTTATAAAATCATAAATGATAAACAATAATAAAGAAGAAAAAATAGAAAAAAAGAAAACGAACCGTAGTCGCCCATGCGGAGGAGTTGGTCGGGTCCGGTGCTGATGTAGTACTGGAGGCCGAAGATGTTGACGGCCGTGAAGACGGCGTTGACCCACCACGGGGCCGAGAACAGCTGCTGCCAGAACGATCGGCACTTCAGCTCCGCGATCCGCTCCTGCGCCATGCGCTTCCTTCGCTCCTCCTCCGTTTCCATCTGTTCTCACCACCGCACACGCACACGCACGCACGACACGCACGACACGACACGCACACCACCGCACACGCACGACACGGCTTGAGAATGGCACAAAAAGACATGTTTGCGGTACTTGCGCACCTCTTCAAAGGGTTCCATGCTGTCTTCGCTATCGCTGCGTTCAAGTTTGTTCTGTACATTGTTGTCCGTCACTATTCGTGTGTGTGTGTGTGTGTGTGTGTGTGTGTGTTGTGTGTGTGTGTGTGTGCAGAGTGCCGCCCGGGATGAGTCGTTGCGTTGCGCCAGACATCAAAAAATTGGGGGTAGTGGTACTGGGTTGGAAGGCCTTATCGGGCCAGAGGAAGAAGCAGGAGACGCCGATGAAGAGGAGTACAAAGGCGTAGCCAATAAATAGGGATTCCCTGGTCAGCCCTCCGTCGCTCAAGGAGATTGCTTGCTGTGGGCGGGCAAGTTAATGATCAACACACACGACACGACACGACACACGACCGCACACGGCACACGGCACACGACACGGCCAATGGCACGCACACGCACACGCACACGCAACACGCAGAATGAAATGATGAAAGCAGACCAAACCTGGAAGCCAAGGAAGAGGAGGCCACTGATGGCGAAAGCGCCGTTAAACGCTGCAATCAGCATCGCCTGTAGGAATTACGTGTTTATGCATCCAATGATCAATGGTGAGGTTCACATTGTGTAGTGTGCGGTGTGTCGCTGGTCGTGTTGTGTTGGTGATGTGTGCGTGTGTGTGTCTGTGTGCGTGTTGACGCGAACCTTGTTGCCGGGAAAGAGATTAGAGAGATGAATAACGCCCAGATGCAGGGCCGGCCCGCCAAACCCCATGAGGCCAAACCCAACAAAAAACCAGTCGAAACCTGCGCACTGTGGCTTAGTTATCTCGTGTCATGCGGTGTGTGTGTGTGTGTGTGTGGTGTGCGTGCGTGCGTGCGCGCGCGCGTGTGTGTGTGTGTGCGTGTGCGTGTGCGTGTGCGTGCGTGCGGTGTCCGTACCATGGTCGTTTGAAAAAGAGATGAGGAGGGCGCCAGAGACGGAGATGAGGCTGCCAACGCACGCTGTGATCCTGGGTCCGAATCGGTCGAGGCAGAGTCCCATCACAAACAGCGAAATCAAGAGGCTCGAAATGCCCGACGTCGCTATCCTGTCACGTGACGCAAGCGTCCACGTCAGTACTGCCCCCAGTGCGTGCGTTTTACATCTTGACGCGTGTGCGGTGCGTGCATGTGTGTGTGCGGTCGTGTGTGCGTGTGCGTGTGCGCACCGGTTGAAGAGAATCTCTTGCTCTGGGCACTGATCGGACATTAACCCATGAATTGGAGACAGAGTGTACCGTCAGCGCCACACACTCTACAACACACACACACACAGCGCACCACACGTGTGCGGTCCACGGTACGCACCTCGATGCCTTCTTCGATGGTGGTGTTGTTGCCCTGGCTTGGTGGGTGGTGCTCGATGAGCTCGTCGGTGCCGCAGCGGTTGGCGTAGAGGTGCTCGGCGCGGAGCATGAGGAGGAACGCGGGCCAGCCGTAGACGGTGCCGCTGATCCAGATGGACTGGAAGAGGGCGACGCCGAGGTAGAGACCCCGTCGCTCGAACATACGGAGCTGCTTGTCCGAGTAGCGCGGACCCAGGAGCGCCATCTTCTCCTCCTCTTCGTCTTCATCTTCGTCCTCCTCGATCATGTTGTTGTAGGCATCTCCTTTCATCTCCTGCACGATTATCACTTCATTCAATTTGAAATTCATTCAAACACGATTTTTGGTGGAGATTTAATCTCGATTTTTGAGATTAATGACAAGTCTGTGGCGTTCGTTCTCATTATGCACGAATGCTGAAGGTGTAGGCAATACCTCACGTAACGTCCGGCAATCAAATGAATCTATTTACGAGACGATATTATATCTGTTTTTTATATTTACGAACTGTTTGCGGGCTTCGCCCCGGGGAAGTCGCCGGGGAGGCTTGCGGCGCTACGGCTGTTTCGAGGAAGTGTACACCCGCGGTACGCCACGTGTCAACTTCATCACCTCCATCTTGCGATGATGATGTTGACCACTTTGCACGTATTGCGATTGGCCTATGATAACATTTTTGCTATGATCATCCAATGATGTGTGTTCATTGGTGTGGGGTCAGTGGCTGGTGAGGGCGTCGGGCCGGTAGCAGGGGTTGTAGCCCAGCTTCTCGGCCACATGTTCGGCGATCGCCGGCGATGATGTCAACCCGGGCGACTCGATGCCCAGCAAATTTACCAGACCTGTCCTCGTGTGTGTTGTGTGTCGTGTCGTGTTGCGTGCCGTGTCGTTTCGTGAGCAAGGGTAGCAAACGAGCAAGGAGGGAGGCCAGGGAGATGCAAGTGGTGTGCACGTACCGGGGAAGCCTCGCGCGCTCTCCTCCTCGATGAGGAAGTCGCGGAAGGGCTCGCCTGGCCCGGCGAGCTTGGGCCGAATCCCCGAATAGTCCGCGTACAGCGCATCGCGCTTCACTTCGGGCAAGTATCTACAAGCCACATAGTAGAAAGAATGAAACTCTCGTGTGTGTGTGGTGTGTGTGTGTGTGTGGTGGCCGGCTTTGCGACGTACTTGGTGATGGCCTTGTGGGCGTCGTCGAGGTGGTATTCGTAGACCGTGTAGTCGGGCGCGGCCCACGGATCCGTTGGTCGGTCGATGTAGAACGCATCCGGGCCGAAGCGCATGTGCCCGGCCAAATCAATCGTGACGTGCACGCCCAGGCCCTTCGCACCAAAGCAAAAGTTTCATCGTTGGCGTGTGCCGTGTGTATGTGCGTGTGCGTGTGCGTGTGCGTGTGCGTGTGCGTGTGCGTGTGCGTGTGCGTGTATACCTTGAGATTCTTCTCAGGGACTGGGTAGATGAGCCGCGAGACGAGCGTCTTGCGCGAGTAGGCGTAGTAGTTGCCCTTGCAGTAGTACTGGCGGTAGTGCGCAGGAAACGCGTCGCCGAGGGCCATCTGGGCCACCAGATCGGCGTAGAGTCCGGCACAGTTCACCACGCTGCCCAGTGGGTCGACACCAGCATCAGATCACCAGATCACATACATGTCTGGGCATTCGTCTCACTCTGCGCGCAACCAGCGACCAGGGGAGTAGAGTACCTGTCGGCCTCGATCAGGCAGCGCTCGCCCTCCCTGTCGACCGTATCAACGAGATACCCGCTGTCGCTCTTGGCTGCCAACATCAACCACGACGGTCAGACATATAGACACTATATAAAGAAACATATCGACATGTAGATACATTTTGTGTAGACATTATGTACCGATGCTGACGGCCTTGGTGTGGGTGACGATGTTGCTGTCCTCGTTGGCTGTGATGCGGCCTTCGAAGAACTGCATGATGGCATGCGAGTCGAGAATGCCGGTAGACGGGCTCACCAGCGCTTCCTTGCATCGCACCTTGGGCTCCTCGGCCTACACGCCACGCCACGCCGCGATTACTCTTGGTGTGTGTCGTGCGTGTCGTGCGTGTCGTGCGTGTCGTTGTTCAAAGAGGCTGTGACGAGTAAGGCACCAATCGCGTGGCTTCAGAGATGAAGTGCAGCGGCACGCCCAGTCTCTTGGCCTTGACTTCGAGGTCAGCGAGGAACTTGGACTCTTCGTCGTTCTGCGCCACGACCCACTTGCCTGGGCGATCGAACGTTCACCACCAAACGGCCAAACGGCCACCGTGCGGTGGTGAGCTACAAGCCTTTATGAGATGCGGTGATGCAGCCGTGTGTGGTGCGCTAGGGCGCCCAGCCAGCCGAACGCAGCGAGAACGCACCAGTGTTCTTCCAGGGGAGTGAGTACTGCTTGCAGGCCTCGGTGAGCATCAGCTTGCCCTGAGATTGATTGGCACACCAGGCGCAGGCTACGGTTAGGTGTCTGGAGCGTGTCCAAAGAGAGACTGGGAGGAGCAAGCACGAGGATGCAAAGCTTGGTCTTGAGCGAATCCTCGGGGTAGTACAGGCCCGCATGCAGCACCTCGCTGTTCCTTGCGCTCACCTTCATGACATGAAGCCATCAGATGTGCATCGCGGTCAGTCAAGTCAGCAGTGTATTGCTGCGTGTAGCAATACAACGTCATAGGTACCTCTTCTCCGAGGACGGTGTTCTTCTCGAGCAATATGGTGGAACCCTCCCTGCTGAGTCGTGCAGCTGTGGCCAACCCCACCTGTTGTGGCCAGATCCGTTTCATGTGAATCCATACAAATCCAATGCGAATGAGGAGCAGAAGAGATTTGGAGAGAGAGAGAGAGAGAGAGAGAGAGCTCTCGTACGACGCCGCCACCAATGACAAGGTGCTTGACGCTCAGGTCTGCGGCGGGCCTCATCACGCGCAGGGAGGCCCTCATCTTGTGCGTCCGGACAGGCACAAGAATGGAAAAGAAGAGAAGAAAAGATAAGAAATGAACAAAACAAAAGTTTTTCAGCACAGAGATGGCACAGGAAGCAGAAGAAGCGTCGATGGCGCTCGAGGTGAACCCAGAGACGGCAGTCACCATTCGGGCGCTGGCAGCAGCCACTGAGGCCGTCACCGCCAACGTCCGCAAGATCAACGAGACCATGGACCGGTGCGCCCCATTTATGGCATTTTTATTTCTTTTTTAAATTGTAATGTTCTATCTCACATGACCAATCCGCACAGAATACTGCAGGGCAAGGAGGTTGTGGATGACCTTCATGCACTTATTGTAAGGCCCCGCTCTCCACGTCTGTCATCCTAAAGTGTTGTTTGAGCGCATGACTGATGATTGCCACGCCCAAACAGGAGCAGCATAAGCGGATTGTTAGCCAGCGACGAGCCCAAAGCATCACCCACGTCGAAGAGCTCTAGCAACACACACAACACACGACACACACACGACACACACGACACACACAGCAACGCGCATGTGATAAAGCGAGCTTCATTGAACCCAGTTCGTGGACTTGCTGAGAAGTCTGTTCAGGGCTCCTCCTTGTGCTGGTCAGGCGCGCTGAGGATGTTGCTGCCGCCCTTCTCCTTGGCTTCGTCCGCGTCGATGCTGATCCTCTCCACCACAAAGTTATGGTTGGTGTAGATGCAAAGATCAGCCGCCACCTGCGTGTGTGTGTCATGTCAGTTGTGCTCTTAAAAGTTGGGTGGTGGCGAAGTGGTCAGACCTTCATGGACTTGAGAGCGATGGTCTCGGCGTCGATGTCGGGCAGGTCGATCAGGCCTCGGGCGCAGGCCAGCGCGTAGGTGCCGCCCGAGCCGATGGCAATGATGCCGTCGTTGGGTTCGATCACGTCTCCGGTGCCCGTCAGCGTGAGCGATATGTTCTTATCGGCCACCACCATAAGCGCCTGTGTGTGTGTGTGTTGGTAATGGTGGTGCGTGTGTGTGCGTGTGCGGCGATGTGTGTGCAGTTGTGTGTGTGTGTGTGTGTGTGTGTGTGTGTGCGTGTGTGCCATTGTTAACATCCAATTCGCACGAGATCAGTGCGCACCGATCCAAGGAGTGGCGTACCTCGAGCCGCCGCAGGTACTTGTCGGTCCTCCACTGCTTGGCCAAGTCCACGCAGGAACGCAGCAGCTGGCCCTGATGCTCCTCGATCTTCTCCTCGAGACGTTCGAACAGCGTGAAGGCATCGGCAGTGGCGCCTGGTACATCAAAATTGAGCAATGCGCTCCGGGACCCACACACACACCACAACAACACACGAAAGGGAGGAACAAGAGGAGCGTACCGGCAAAGCCCGCAACGATGCCGGGACGGATTTGGCGGACCTTTCGTGCGTTGGGCTTCACCACGGTGCTGCCCAGCGTCACCTGCCCGTCGCCCACCATCACCTGCGCACCGTGTGCATGATAAGGGAAAAGAATGTAACAAAGTCATGCAACGCAATCGTAGAGGCGCAAAGAATCAATCAACCGAGAGGGCTGCGGCTGAGTACCACTGAGTTGCCCTTGCGCACGCAGAGGATGGTGGTGGCGTAGGCGGGGTTGTCGGGTCCCCAGAAGCCGGGGTGCCGACCGCTGCCGCCCTCCGAGTGGTAGCTCGCAGCAGCAGCAGCAGAAGAGGTGATGATCCCATTCGTCATCGGCGCGAGTAGCGGCCTGCTTCCATTACCCGTAGTGGCAATTGAAGATCTCGCCCCCAAACCCGCCGTTGTGATCGCACCGCGTCGTGCGAAGCTCTTCATCTCTCCTTTATCTTTACTATTGACGATGTGCAGCCAATCTCTCCAGCAGCCAATTTGTTGTGTTTATTCCTCGAACTCAGCTTTTTCTTTTTGGTTTCCTTTTCTTTTCTTTTGTTCTGGCATTTATTTTAAGATATTTATTTTATTCGCCGTAGCGTGCATTCGCACATAACTCGCATCTTCTTCTTGACAAGTCAAGTCTCGAAGACCAAGGCCTGACCCAACAACCATGCAGGGCGCGGCCCATCTCAAGAGCCAGCTGTTTGCCAAAGGCGAGGAGCGGCAAGTCGAAGTCAACCAGCGGCATCTCATCGATAAAATCTTGGCCCGCTACAGGTTAATCATCTCTCCTTCTTTTCCACCCCACCCCATGGGGTGGTGATGCTTATTACCTTGTGCCAACAGTTCCGAGTTCACCCTGTTTCGCGAGCTCATCCAGAACGCCAACGATGGTACTGTGCTCTTCTCAGCTGCGTGTCGTGTCGTGTCGTGTCGTGTGTGCCGCGTGTGTGCCGTGTCGTGTGTGTCGTGCACGTTGGGAGCTCACTCACGCGCATTCCCGTGAGTGCTTCAGCCGGGGCTACGCACATTGAGATCGTGCTCACGTCGCCCACCTATCGTCCTCCCTCCACGTCACCCGCTACCGACTCAGCCTCGACAACGGCCTCCTCCACCGCTGGCGCCGTCCCCGAGTCCTCGGCCTCGTCCGCCGCCTCGTCCATCCTCAGCATCTTCAAGTTCGGCTCGTGGACCGCCGGCCCGGCACTAGAGAAGGAAAAAGAAAAGGAAAAGAACGATGGCGACGGCGGCAAAAAGAAGCAGACGAAGAGGGCAGACGACCATGCCCTGCAGTTCGGATCCTGCGATGCCACCGAGATCAAGGTCTGGCTCACGCACACGCACACGCACACACGCACACGCACGCACACACGCACGCCTTCTTAACACTTACTCGGCTGGGTGTTGATGTGGTTGCGCAGATCCAAAACAACGGACGCGCGTTCACGGAGGAGGACTGGACGCGTATCAGGAAGATCGCCGAGGGCAACCCCAACTCCGACGCCTGCGGCATGTTCGGCGTGGGCTTCTACTCGGTGTTTGCCATCTGCGAACAGCCCATCATCAAGTCGGGTACGGCCTCTGCATTAAAACGGCCACTACATTCCTCACAATTCCACAAGACACAAGCGAGAATGCTGACGTGTCTCTCTCTCGTTCGCTTGTGTGTGCTGTGATCAGGCGACGATTGCCTCATTTTCCATTGGCGCGGTGATATGCTGGTGACCACGAGGGCCAAGGTGGAGGATACGACTGAAGACGCCGGCGTCGCCGTTGAAGAGGAGGACGCCGAGCGTAAGGCGGCTGTGGCGACGGCGGCCGAAGCGGCGAAGCGGAAGGACTGGGTGGCGTTCGTGCTCGAGACGCGCGAGGTGATGCCGTTCGACCTCGACCTGCTGAGCCGATTCGTCGTCAAGTCGGTCTCCTTCACTACCAACGTCCAGTCCATCTCGCTGATCGTGAACGACATCAAGCTCCTCCAAGTCCACACCAATGTAGATAAACGTACGCCTTTAATTTATTTATCATATTATTTATATTTATAAAACAGTTTATATGGAAAATGAATTATATTTGTAATTCTGGCGCGACACAGGGAGCACGGAGGCGCGTGAGAAGGAGACTGAGGAGGTGGCAGTGCCCAGAGTTACCAAGGACGACGTGAAGCGGCGACAGAAGGAGCACGGCTACATGTCCATCGGTAATCAATCTCACTTCCCGAAGTGGTCCGTGGTGTGAGTGGCTGACCAGCTGGATTGCTGACTGGACACCAACGCTGTGCCTCGCTCGCGTGAAGCCTCGATCAAGGCGCAGAGGATGACGGTCAAGGTCGACCGATATCCGTTCACCAAGCCTCTCTTTGTAAAGATGCGTTTGCTCAACGCACAGGTAAGCACTACATTGCTCACTCCGACCTTGCGCCCTCTCTCTCTGATTCTGACGCACACGCACACGCACACGCACACGCACACGCACACGCACACGCTCAAGGTGGACGTGCACTGGGAGTTCTACCCAACGTACCTCGAGAACATGAAGCGCATCCTCAAGAAGACGCCGCCGAGCCGCACCAGCATACTCCTGCTCTACAACTTTGACGATGACGACGAAGAAGCTTCCGACCAGTTGAAGGCCTTGGACTCGACCACCAACAAGGCGAAGGGCTCGCAGTACGACCCCACGGCTTCTTCATCGTCATCGTCGACGTCGACGCCCGGTGGTGGCCTGTCGTCGTTTTGGTCATCGCTGGTCAACGGTGGTCCATCGTCGTCAACGCCGGCACAGCAGTTGATCGACGATGGGCTGGGCGGCGGTCAGGCCAGGAAGGTGGACGACCTCGTGGTGGACCTCTTCCCGTGCCCCAACAACGGACACATCTTCATCGGCTTCTCGACCCAGCAAACCACCGGCACCGGGTTCCACCTTGCTGCCCAGGTATTGTGCCTTCGGTGTGTGGTGTGTGTGTGTGTGTGTGTGTGTGTGTGTCATGCGTAACAATTTCGTCTACGCGTCTGCAGCTGATCCCCACGGTCGAGAGGGAGAACATAGACTTCCAGGATGTGTACATATCCAACTGGAACTGCAATCTGCTGGCTGCCGCGGGCCAGGTACGGTCTTTGCCTGCGGTACCGCAGTCAGGAGCACCTGACCCCACCGGTGACGGCGGCTTCATCCATTTTCTTCTTCGTTTTTCCCAGGTCTCTCGCCTGTACTACGACCACATCATGAAGAAGATCGAGAGCACTCGCATCCAACCAGAGCAAGAGCAGATTCTCGAGCGCGAGATCGTCAATTTGCTCTCTGCTCACAGGTAACCATCGCCCACTCTTTATTTTCTTTTACTTTTTGTTTCCTTTATTCTAAATTCTGAATTCTTGTTACTCACTCGCCTGTATGGTGCGCAGCTTCGCGCAGAGTCACCCGAGCGAGAAGGTCGTCCGACTGCTCAATCAGTACTTCTTCGTGCACCCACTTCAGTACGCCAACGTGACGCCGCTCGCCCAACAGCAACGAATTCCGCCGACACTGTTTTTCATTCCTTCGACCGCCGGTACATCTCCACCCTTCATTATCATCATCATCTTCGTCATCATCTTCATCATCATCATCATCATCATCATCATCATCATCATCCGTCTTTCAGGTATATTGACGTGCGACAAGGTGAGGCTGCCGTACCTGGACATGGAGGATTTTCTGGTCCAGCGTGGTTCCGGGACGACCACTGCAATTGTTCCCAAGTCGCTGCTCAAGAAGTGCGACAGGTACCCACACCAGTCAGTCCGCTGTGTGCCATGCGTGTTGTGGTGTATGTCGTGTGTCGTTCGATCGCTGACATTGGTCGGGACCAGGTTCTTCCACCACCTCAAGGTCCGCAACATGGTGCGCGAGATCTCGTTGGACGACCTCCTGGACGAACTGAAGCGTAGGGAGCTCTCGCTGGACGAGCTCACCCAGGTCGTCAAGTGGTTCAGCAAGCCGCAGGTAACCCATATTTCCCCTCAGGTCGCTCTGCTTCACCCGATCCCCCTCGTGCTCACCGCGGATGTAACACCGCACGCACGCGCACACACGACACACGACACACGACACACAACACACGACACACACAGGTCGAGTACGCACTGTTCGTGAACCAACGAAAGAATGTGCTCAAGCTGCTGTCGAGCCTGACGGTCGTCGTGCGCGAGACCAAGGAGCAAGAGGTAATCGAGCCAAGCGGTGACGGCGCCCCAGCGGCGACGGCCGCCGTGGTTTCGTTCCGGCCCGTGCGCCAGAATCTGGGCGAGGTCCAGTTCTTCGTGGGTGCGAGCAAGGCCATGCGCGGCCTGCCCCTGCCGCCCGCCACGCTGGACCCGTTCATTTCGGCCTCGCTGAGCGCGGTGCTGCACAAGAACCTCCTGCTCAAGCGGTTCGGCTGGCGCGAGCTCACCGCCTGGGACTGGTGGGGCCACATCCGCAACAACCTACACCTCCTCACCGCCCCAGGTATTTATTTATTTAGCCAGCCATTTATTTATCAATTCATTATTTGTTTGATATTAATTTTCATTTTGTTTGGCAGGCGGCACGGATGTGTTGAAGCACATCGCGGAGTTCTTTCCGCACCTGCCCGAGGGCAACAAGAACGAGGTGGTGGCCGTGCTGCGCCAGGTCGCCTGCATTCCTATCGAGCCCAGACAGGGTATGTTGGCGCCTCCGTTGTACCCCTACATTCGATCCATTATTCATGCCATCTATGTCGTCGTGCGCTGCTGTGTGTGTGTGTGTGTGTGTGTGTGTGTGTGTGTGTGTGTGTGTGTGTGTGTGTGTCGCGTGTGTCGTGTAAAGATCAAGCAGCGCCAACTGCTGCAACTCCGGCGGCGGCTGCTTCAGCAACAACGACGACTGCGACGACAGCGTTTAGGCGACCGGAGGAGGTCTACTTTCCGAGCGTGCGGCTCTTCTCCGATATCGACCACGTGCGAGCCGACATCATCCGCCACGACACCAAGCCCTTCCTCAAAGCCCTCGGTTCGGCCCGCCCCCCTCCTCGCTATGTGAAGCACGCGTGTGTCATTCCTGACATTTCTTTTCTTTCCACTCCGGCCAGGCGTGCGCGACACGGTCGACCTGAAGCTCGTGCTCGGGCGTCTGGAGCAGCTGCGATGGAACGTCAGGGACCTGGTCGACTACCTGACCAAGCAGCAGCCGTCCTTCACCCCGGCCGACTGGTACACACCACCACCAACTGGCAACTGCTCGAGCCCGGTGTGTACTACCTTGGAGTCTAATCGTTGTGTGGAATGCTAGGAATCTGCTTCGGAATTCAGCATTCCTGCCGGCTGTGGTCTACAAGCGTAAGGTGGCGACCGCTTCCGCCGCAGCTGATGACAGCACCACGCCCATCCCAGCAGCAGCGCCGGCCGAAGGCGGCGTTATGGCCGTCGGAGCGCCGGTGGCGCAGAGGCGGAGGGCCGCGGCGGATGTGTTTGCGACCGAGTTCGATGAGATGCGGGACAACATCCCGCGCAAGGCCAGCGAGCTGTTCTTCCCGGCCGACGAGATGAAGGCCCTGGGCTTTATCGTGCTCGACTGGTCGCCCAAAGCCGCCGACCAGCAGCAACCGCAGCAGCAGCTCGACCCCAAGTCCAAGCAGGCCCAGCTGCTCAAGAAGATCGGCCTGCTCGACAAGCCCGACCTCTTGTCCCTCGTGATACTCGCTTCCTCCTACCCATACGACGGTGCGTGTGCGGTGTGTGTGCGGCGCGCGTGTGCGGTGGGTGTGCGTCTGTGCGGTCGCGCGTGTGCGGTGCTGACTCAAGGGTGCCGCTGTTGTGTTTCAGGGGCGGACGAGCACAGCGAAGGCGAGCAGATGCGGGAGAAGATACTCAAGTACATGGAGGCCAACGCCGCGGAGCTGCTCCGCGCCCAGCCGCACGGCTTCAACGTCCGCGACATCGAGATGCGGTTCCTCCCCGCCCGTGTGCGCACCGCGCAGGCCCGGCCGCCGCCCGAGGTTGGTGCGCAGCCGCAGCCGCAGGCCGAGTACGGTCGGCTCCTGTGCGACCCCAAGCGATGCTTCCTGAACGACTCGCCGTTCGGGTTCCCGGTGGTCGAGGAGCGGTGGCGCGGGCTGGCCAAGAAGCTCAATATCGCGGCCGACCCTCCGCTGACCAGCATCATCGACATGGTACTTGCCAACACACACGACACACACGACACACACACACACACACACGACGCAAACCGCACACGGCTAAAATGATGTGTTCTTGCTGGTGGGCCAGATTGTGAAAGCGCCGCCGGCGGACCAGAAGAGCGGCGAGGAGGTGTTCGAGTACCTCTACTCGCGCCTCCAGGAATTCACCCGCGAGGACCGCCGCACCCTGCTCGCCACCCCCTTCATCCCGCTCACCTACGGGCGGCCCACCGTGCGGATGTCCGCCACCCACGAGGTTCCGCTCACCACCCCTAACCACCGCCTTTCTTTCGCTCGGCGCTGACGTCGCTGTGTGCGCGCGTGGTTTGTGTGTGTGTGTGTGTGTGTGTGTGTGTGTGTGTGTGTGTGTGTGTTGCGTGTGTGCTGCGTGTGTGCGCGCGCGCGCGCGTGTGTGTGTGGTGCAGGTTTTTATTACGGACAGCTTCCAGCTGCTGAGGAATGGGGAGAGGAGGGACGAGCAGCGGAAGCAGATCACGGCCAGGCTCACCAAAACGCGCCAGGCCATCCAGGACCTGGAGACCAAGAAGGGCGCCGCGCCCACCTCTGACGACAAGCTCCGCGCCAAGCTGGCCCGACAGGATCCCAAGGCCTCCGCTGCTCAGGTGAGTGCGTGTGTGCGGTTGTATCGTGTGTGTGCGGTTTTATCGTGTGTGTGTGTGTGTGTGCGATCGTGTCGTGTGTGTGCGGCGTGTCATGTGTGTGCGGCGTGTGCTCATCATGAACGAACGGAAACAGTTTTCGCAGCAGCAGCACTACCTGTTCCAGCTCAAGACGCTGCAAACGGAGGAGAGCAAGGCGCTCAAGGAGCTCAAGCGGCTCGAGGCCGAGGCGGACAAGGAGCTCCGCGACCGCGCCCCACCGGCCGTCGTCGCCCCCGCCAGCCCGGCCGCCGCCGCTGCCGCCACCGCCGTCGCCGCCGCCAAGCGGTCGGCCTTTGACGTGTTCGACAATCTGCTCGAGTTCGTCGACTTTGGGGAGCGGGGCAACCAGTTCCTGCGCAGCTGCGGCGTCGAGGAGTACCCGACGCCCGAGCAGTTCGCCAACAACATCATGCGGCACCACCAGCGCTACCTGGCCAAGAACGGCGTCGCGCGGTACCTCCGGCTGCTCTCCCTCTTCGCCGCCGCCTTCCCCCACATCGCCCCACCGCCACCAACGACCACCACCGCCACGCCGGCCGTGTCGTCGTCGTCGGCTCTGCTGAATCAGCTGCGCCAGTGCCCGTTCTGCGTGGCCCTTCGGTACACGGACGATGACGATGACGATGGCGGCAGCGGCGGCGGCGGCGGCGGCGGCAAGAAAGGTGGAAAAGAAGAGGAGGAGGAAGAGGAGGAGAAGGTGCGGGAGGAGACGGCGTTGATGAAGAAGGCGAGCGAGTGCTACCTGATCGACAACGAGCGGTTCGCCAAGCTGTTCAACCCGCCGCGCATCCCGCATGGCTCGGGCGACGCCGCCTTCTCCTCGTCGGCTCTCGAGAAGATGTACGAAAGCCTCGGTAAGCGCCCCTTTCGCACGACACGACACGAACAACGACACGACACGAGACACGACACGACACGACACCGCGCGTGGCTGACAACGAAGGAAGGTGCCAAATGGATCACGAGCGATGTGAAGACGAGCTGCCAGCGGGAGGGCGAGCTGCGGGCCACGCCCAAGGCCAAGAAGCTCAAGCGTCTGCTGACCGACCGCAAGCCCCTCCTGGTCAACAACATGAACGGCCAGCGCCGCAAGAACCTGCGCTCCAACGCCGAAGACGTCCTCAGCAAGTATGATTGTCCATGATGAAGTGTGTGTTGTGCGTGTGCGTGTGCGTGTGCGGTGGTGCGTGTGCGTGTGCGTGTGCGTGTGCGTGTGCGTTAATGATGTCGATGTTGACGTGCGCGCCCACAGGCTGCAGGTGTTTGCTGTGGCCAAGATCGAGCGAGTGCTCACCTTCAAACATCAGCGCGTCACCGAAGAAGCCAGCGTCGCCGTCATGAACCACGAGAAGTACGTTTGTCACATGTCGTGCGTGTCGTGTTTCTAGTGTTCTGTGTGCGCGTGTGCGCGTGTATCGAGTGTTCTGTGTGCGACATCTAAAACTAGTGCGACTTCAGCGGCAAGCTGGCCCTGTTCATCGTGGAGGCGATGGAGTTGGACTACTTCGACATCGGCACCGAGCTGGTGGGCCTCCTCTACCGCAAGTCCGTCCACGACGACGCCCTCCTCACCGCCATGCTCCTCCAGACCCCGCTCCCCACCCTCCGCAAGCGAGGTCACTCTCTCCTCCCCCCTCCACCACCCCCGCTCCCCCTTACAGGCCTCCAACGTGTGTCGTGTGTGACGTGTGTCATGTGCTGTGCGTGCGGTGTGTGTCGCGTGTGTGTGCGATTTTAGGGTGGCCCGTGGATCGGCTGTTGCAGAAGGAGGACGGGGGCGGCGCCGGTGCCCTGGTCTACCACGGCGCCGTGCAGCCGCGCGAGCTGCAGCTGCAGCCAAGTGAGCCGCCGGTCGGGAAAGGCGGCGGCAGCGGCCGCGAAGGCCGGCAGATGACGTCAGCACCGCCGTTGTCGCAGCCGCCCAAGGCCGACAGTCAGCCGACGAAGCGGCCGTCGGGCTTCTTCCAGTCGCTCTGGGACGCCATCGCTGCGCCGCCGGCGCCAGCGGCACCGCCGGTTACGCCAAAGCCGACCACCACCACCAACGCCCCGGCGCCGCTGCAGATGGAGACGACCGGCGGCCGAAGAGCCATCGCCGCCCCGGCCGAATCCAGCGCCGGTCCTCCTCCGCGCCAGGTCCCGGACGTGCAGACAGCCGGCGGCGCTGAGATCGTGAGGTATTTGAGAACTGCGCGCCACTCGCTGCGCTGCGCTGCAGCTTCTGGAGCTCAACTATGCGTTACTAACATCGCGACACACGACAGCCGCGTCAAGCATGAGGCCGACGACCCGATCGACGCCCAGCGCATGTACCAGCAAATGGAAAGGTTCGCGCAAGCGCACGCGCACACACGCACACGCACACGCACACGTGTGTTGACGAGGGGTTGGTCGCCAGTGAGGCGAAGAGGGCACTGCAGGGCGTGAGCCAGGGCGCGTCGCAGGTGATCCACCAGCAGCCCGGCGAACGGAACGAGGTGAACTACTTCTGCGAGGTGCTGCCCGAGCAGACGCTGGTCAACGTGGACCAGGTCCACGGCGTCACCCTCTACCTCGAGGAGGGCTCCACCCTCGTACGCCACCTTACTATTATTTATATTATGTATATTATTTATTGATTTATTTATTTATTTATTTATTGATTGATTGATTGATTTTATTTAAATTAATATCTAAATTATTGAAATTAATATATAAAAAAATGTAGAGCACCGAGCATGTGCAGGGCGCTCAGGTGATGGCCCAGGTTTTGCTGCAGCTGGCCGGTACGTGTCTTTTGGCTGTGTGCGCGTGCGGTGGTGCGTGTGCGGTGGTGATGACTGACGAGTGTGCTGCGTGGGTTGTGTGTGTTGCGTGCGGCCAGGCGTGTTTGGGATTCCCGCCAATTCGCTGCACATGTGGATCGGCTACAAGGGCAGGCGCATTGCATTCAACCGCGGGAACAGCCTCTACTTCAACCTCACCGTCTTCATCGACCTTCGCTTCCGGTACAACCCACAACACAGCAACACACAACAGTGGGTAAGTGCCACTTAACACCATGCATGCCCTCGTGTCGCGCGTGAGCAGAACGCGATCGGAATGTATGCGCTATTGGTACATGGTGATGTGCCACGAGCTCGCACACAACAACGTGTCGGCACACAACGAAGAGCACGAGGTGCGACGTCGCACTCCCTCCTCTCCCCCGCACTTTCACCATCGTCGTCGCCGTTGGTTGTCACCCAACATGTCACACACTTTATTTATTTCTTTTTTTTTCCTGCCAAACAGAGCCTGTTGAGCTGGCTGGCGTTCCGTCACATGGAAGCTCTCAATGCCCTCCTTGGCAGCACCCAACAGCGACTTCCTGAAGTCGCTGCTACACATACATAGCCTGGGCATTGATAGCAGCAAGTGCTGACAGATAGAAAGGTGGTGATAAAGTAAACATCAACTTTTTGTCTTCAGTGACTGTTTTACATGTTGGTGTCTGTGGATCCTAACCAGGCATCTTGCAATATGACATGTCAACAGTATTGCCATGTGCTGGTCAGTTAGTTGGGAAATGGAGGACAGTGGTGCTAGCCTTTGACATGTTCAGCTGTAACCACTGTCTCCAGTACTGATGTTTGAAAAATGTAACAAGCCAAAAAGTGTGTGAATGGGTTGAAGTAGGGGCTTTGGTGAACATGGCCAAACCAGATTTCTGTACCAAAAATGCACCAGACAAGAGTGCAAGTGAAGATGTCATCATGTGCAAGCTTAGGTGTAGTAGGGGGATAGTGGGTAGCCACCCAAGGTTATTGCATCCCATAAAAGAGGAATTTGCAGCTTTGATGTACAAATGATAACAAGGGAGGTCAAAGCTGATGTTGCTGCTGTAATTATGAAGTGGGAAGAAGAGTGACAACCTGGCCCTTGGTGGCTATTGTATTCCAGGCCCAAGCAGAGTCTGTTTAGGTTTTTTTTTTCAGACAAGGCCTACAAACCTCATTTAAGTGGCAGATAAAATCACACAAAATCACTTGAAATGACTGTGCCCACAAGATAATGGTCATAGAAGAAAAAAAGGTGAGAGTGCTCAACAGCGGCGTGGGTCTGGTGTTGCTTTCCCCTTAACCACTCGGGCACTGGGTTGGGGTTTTAATCCCTCCCCAGGTAGGATTCGAACCTACGAGTCTGTGATGACAAATATCTACGAAGGAGCCCACTGCACCAGGCGGGCGCTCTCAATAGTTGTTTTTAGTTTCTCTCTTCTTCTGGCAGCTCCTGACCTCCGACCCACCCCCTTCGACCTCTACCGCCAGAACAACATCCACCACTCCACTGACAGCGACGACGACGACTACAGGGCGGTTGACCAGAACGTGGTGGCTGTTGGCCTCCTCGACTCAATCTACACTGTCGCCGCTCGTCATGGATGCGGAGACGGTGTCGAAGCCGGCGTGGGTGTGGGCGCGGGAGTACCTGGAGGTGCGGCTCGACCGGCAGGGCTTCGCCCCCCCCCCCGGCAAGGCGGGCGGCGGGTCGGCGTGCGCCTACCGGGCTGACGACGCCAGCCTGGGTGACCTCGACCGCAGGTGCTCAAGTGGGACCCCAACAACTCCCGCTCGGGCAACCGCGTCGACTGGTTCCTCGCCGGCGTGGCCCACCTCGACGGCCGCCCGGCGGGCCGACCCGCCAGTCTGGTCATGACCCGCGACAACGATGCCGTTCGACTTTCGCCGCGGTGGTGATGGGCACCCACCGACGCTGGCCCGCCGCTGGCTGTTCGACTCGGACGAGCAGGCAAACCGCACGATGTGGGCCGGGCAGGGCAACCACCAGCTGAACGTGGCCGACGTGGACGGCGACGGGCGCGATGAGGTGGTGTTCGGGGCGATGGTGGTCGATCATGACGGGCGCGGCCTGTACTCGACGCTCTGGGGTCATGGCGACGCGATGCACACGACAGACGTCGACCCGGCGCGGCCGGGCCTCGAGACGTGTCAGGTGCACGAGAAGGCCGCCTCCCCCTATACGCTGGCATGATGTCGCGACGCGGCCACGGGCCGGCTGCTGTGGGGCCTGCCCAACGTGGGCCTGAACTCGGGCCGCTGCGTCGTGGCCGACGCGTCACCCGGGCCAGGAGGTGCGCGCGCTACGTGCCTGGCCTCTACACGGCCGCGGGCGAGAAGATCACCGACGCGACGCCGTCGATGCACACTCGGCATCTGGCGGGACGGCGACCTGTTGCCCGAGCAGCTGGACAACATCACGATCAGCGAGTGGGACTGGGCCGAGAGCCGGCTGGTACCCCTGATGACGGCCACCGGCGCGGCGGTCCACACGATAAGAGGCGTGCCGTGCCTGCAGGCCGACCTGCTGGGCAACTGGAGGGAGGAGGTGGTGTAGCGTACCGAGGAAAGCTCGGCCCTGCGCAACAACACGACGAACCACCCGACACAGCATCGACTGGTGACGCTCCTGCACGACCACAACTATTGCCGCTGTGGCGGGTCAGAACGTGGGCTACAACCAGATGCCGCACCCGAGCTTCTTCCTGGGCGAGGGCATGGCATGCGAAACCGCCGAGGCGCCTTTTTTATGGGCAAATGCGTGAGGAAGGGGAGGCCTCTGAACAGCTATTCGCCCCCACAACGCGCACACCTGCACAACCGCACACATGATTGGGCCTTGGGTTGGTGCGTGTGTCGTGCGTGTGTCGTGCGTGTCATGTGTCGTGTGCGATTGTTGTGGTCGGGAAGGGTGAGATACCGGCAGTGGAAGAGGAACTTGCGCCACAGGGCATCGTGCCTGGCGCTCTTGGTCAATGCGCCCTTGCTCTCGTCCAGATAGGTGATGACAACCTCGTCGCCTTTCTTCAGCCTCTTCATCGCCCTGGTGTCGCACCAATTCAGGCCTTAATTGCCCAGGGGCTGTGGTGTCGACTTACCTGAGGGTGATCGAGTTGTCGATCTCGCTCTCGGCATGGTACGCGTTGGGCACGCACGAGTGGTTGACGGAGCACGCCACCGCGTACATGGCCACCCCCTCTGTGGTCCCCGGGAACGTTTAGCGCACACACCGAGAAACAGTCACGACACACACGACACACACGACACTGTGAGAAGACGTGCCTGTCTTGAGATCGAAACCCAGATCCTCGGTGGGGAAGCAGCGAGCGAGAAAAGTAGCAATCTCCCTAGGCACGCTGGGCACCGCACACTGTTGCGCGTTCATAGCTATGCGAGCCTGGAGGCGCTGGTAGGCGCTCCAGGTCACTGAGTGTCGGCCAAGCGAAAAACGAACACGTGAGCCACCAGGCCGAGCGGCGTGGCTAAAGAGGCGAGGACCGTACGGTCGGGAAAGAGGTTTTGCATGAGGTCGCAGATCTGGCGCTGCATGTTGTGCTGGTGCTCGAGGTCCGCGGCGGTGGGCTCAGTGAACTGGCCGGCTTCAGCGTTGTAAACGCGCTGCGGCGGCAACGGAACCTCTGAATACCAACCACACACACACATACGCATGGCCCATCAGCGCTGTTCTGTGTAGTGCGTCGTTTGCTGTGTGTTGTTTGCTATGACTCGGAAGAGACGTACCCTCGGAGTCGGTCGTGAAGAAATCAAAGGGAAATACGGCGTCAGGCTTGGCTTCCTGCTGATGCTTCGCCTTCTGGGCCAGAATGCGCAGCATCATCGCGATGGTGTGGTAGCCCACCTCCCTGAGCCCTCAGCCAGCCGGTGGAGAGTCAGAGAGAGACCGGTCATGGCTGACTTGAGGCGAGGCCATGAATGAGAGTTGAGCCATACCGGTACATGATGAGCAGGTTGAGCAGGGCAAAGTGCTTGCCCTGGTTCTCTGCCAGTTGGCCTGGGCACAAGCTGTGGTGATGACTCTCCCAGGCCTCTTTCCTGCACGACTCGGAGCAGTACACCTAACATTGGGCCAATCCAAAGGTTCAGCCAAGCGAATATTCGGCGGTGGGGAGGCTGGTGGTACTTCTTGGTAGGACTCGGCCGGCGGCAGGCTCGGATAGGCGCGGAAGACGGACTGCCACAGTACGGGGGGAGGCTTGGCCAGGTCTCCCGCGCAGTGGGGGCACGGCACCGCCGGGCTTTGCTTCTGGATCACGGCTTCGGCAAGGTTCTGGCCTTGCACCAGGATTTTCTGAATGAAGGGGTTGAGGCGCGCGTCAGCAGTGCTGGCGGCCTCGCGCGGGTGAGGAGCGCGCAAGGGGAGCAGTACCGCAAACTGGTCTACATCGGGTGGCAGGGGCTTTTCGGGGTTGGGCGCCTTCTTCGAGTCCTCGATACCCTTCAGCATCAGCCCAAAGTAGGCCTTCCAGTCAAAGTCGTCCACGTAGCGCATGCAGTTGTCGCAGGTCTGGCGGGACCAAAGGAACACACACGGATGCGAGTCAAGCGCACGCAATCAAGCTCAAGACAGAGGTCCAGCCGCAGCGCGACACGCAGGGATCGCACGAAACCTTGAACACGCGCCTGCGAGGCTTGCCGGTGATGATGTGGTTGGGCGGGTACTTGACCGCGCTCACCAGAGGCCGCTCTCGGAGCAGCGTGTCGTCAGCATCCACAGCCTGCTTGGCAAACACGCCCTTGCCCTTGTGACCGTCGATCTGCTTCACCTCCACAACGCACTGCGACACTCCAGGCTTCTTCTGGAGGTCACCATAGTAGGCCTAGACCGAGAAGGAACAGTGTGAGGTATGGCATGCCTGGTATGCGAGAGCTTAAGTAGCGCATATGCGAGCGAGCACCTTGATTGCACCGACAAGACGAGCGGACTCAAGACAGCTTTTGACCTCGGCCCGAACGACCTCTTCGGAGGGAGGAGTCGCCTGGAGAGCCCTGCCGTAGGCCTCCACGGCCTCTCCGGTCTTGCCCAGAGCCTGAAGCGCCTTCCCCCGCCTGTAGTGCCCCTAGGATGGACGAGAGGTCAGCCCAGCAGCGGCCAGCAGAGGCGTTACGGCCATTCAAAGAGGTACCTTGGCGAAGGTGGGGTCGAGGGCAACCGAGCGCGTAGCGTGGTCCAAAGCCTTGGCGTGGTCCTGCTTGAGCAAGTAGACGGCGGCCATGTTACTGTGGATGAGGCACTGGATGAGCTGCCCTCCTCCTCCGCCCCCGCCTGGGCCCTTCCCCCCCACGCTGCCACCGACTCCGCCCACGTGCGGCACCGCCACACCGTAGGTCAGCGCCTCCTCGTAGTGCCGCAGCGCAGCATTCAACTCGCCTTTCCTGAACGCTTCATTCCCTCTCTCCCTCGCCTCCTGCATCCTCTGTTCCTCTTCTTCTACGCTCGCCCCCAAAAAACAAGAGTTATTATTTCTTTTTCCTGAGGGTGCTCGGTTATTTCCCCCCAGCCGAGACATACCACGCATTCCAAGCAAAGAAAATAACCATTAAAAATAATTAATAAATTCTGCGCGTACACAGTGGTCAGTGCTTGGTGCTGCTGTTGGCGTTTTCCTCTTCCTCCTCCTTCTTCTGTTGCTGCTCTTCTCTCTCCCTCTTGGCTTCGAGCTTGTGCTGGTGGTGTCCCGTCCACCAGCGGGAGATGGACGGCGTGATGCCGAGGGTGATGGCGAAGCGGAGCGGCTCGGTGAACTTGGTGGAGACCCAGGCCAGAGCGAAGTTGCCCACCTTGGGCGTGAGTAGCGACTCGTCGAAGAAGTCGCCAAGATGAAGGAACTCGATGAGGCCCACGACGTCGCCCGCGAAGAGGAGGCCGCTCGAGTAGGCGCCGTAGAAGGAGGCCAGCGTCGCACCGTAGAGGCCGAAGTAGGTCACCACGCCCACCGCGCCGTACTTCTTGAGGAATGTGCGGATCTTGCCCAGCTTCGGCTTGGCTTCAGCTTCAGCCGAAGATGGCAAGGCGGCCTGGGCATCTGGTGGTGGAGATGCCGTGGCCGAGGGGCGACTCCGTGACGAGGGCTCATCGGCCTCCTCGCTCTCGACCTTGCTCGATGATGTGGCCAATCCGGCTACGCGAGTAGCGGCCACGGAGAGGGGAGCTAGGAGCGATGTGGCATTCACACTTCCATAGATGCTGCCGGTGCGCGCCGCGGAGGGGTTGGCCTCTGCCGATGCGAATGGCAATCGCCCGCCCATGCTGGGCCTGGTGGCGAGGGATCGATTGAGAAGCGATGACGAGGGGCTGGCCGAAGATCGCTGAGCCTTGAGTAGCGTCGAAAGGGAAGACGGAGAAGAGGTGGAAGAGATGAAGCGGGAGCCGGAAGAGGAGGCGAGGGTCGCTGACGAGAATGAAGATGAAGCCGCAGAGCGAATGGCCCCGCCGCCCCATGATGTGAATGCTGAAGAGCTTCGTCTCATTTTTTCTTTTCGATCGCCTATGTCCTTACGGCTGAGTTTGATATTTGCAGCTACAGCCGCAATGTATGTTGATGATGTAGCGATGCGGAAATCGTCCCCTCTGATCGAAAGTGAGAAAAGCAAGGAATTTCAATTTCCTCGAATTGGCCGTGGGCCTCCCAGCGCTATCACAGGCGAGCGGCCGAGAGGATGCCGCCCTCGAGCGGGATGACAGCGCCGGTGAGGAACGCGCCCGCTCGGGAGCCGAGAAAGATGCACGCGCCGGCGATGTCCTCCGGCTCGCCGATGCGGCCGCGCGGCACGTTGGCCTTGAGCAGCTCGCCGAACGTACGCAGCGTCTCGGCCATCATCTTGCTCTCGAACGGGCCGGCGGCTACGGCGTTGACCGTGATGTTCATGCTGGCCAGGCGATTGGCCAGCACTCGGGTCAGCTGGTGGACTGCCGCCTTGCTAGCTGTCATGCACACGACGCACACAACACACGCACACCACCCGATCAGCACTTTGCTCGCGCGGTGTGGGTGAGGCCGGAAAAAAAGAAGATGAAGCGGTACCGGAATACGGATAGGTCTCGAGTGTGGGAATGCGAATACCTGCGTGCGGCGGGAGATGGAGACTGATGAGAGTGAATCAATCGCGGGTGTACGTTGGTGTGTGTGTCGTGTCGTGTGTGTCGTGTGTGGTGTTCTCTTCTTGGCGAAGAGATCGACCGCACAACGCCAAAACACGGAGATTACAACGCACCGTCGATGGAGCCGAGGTTGATGACTCGCGCGGGGTCGACAGCGGTGGCCTTCTTTTGAAGGAGCGGCAGGAGGTCGCGCGTGAGGAAGAAGAGGGCCTTCACGTTGAGGTCCATCACCTTGTCCCACGCGCTCTCGGTAAAGTCTTCAATCGGCATACCCCACGTGCACCTGCCACATCATCCACCCCAACGCCAAATCAGGGGCGTGTGCTGTGTGTGTTGTGTGTGTGCGCGGTTGATGTGTGTGGTGTGTGAGTTGATAAGGTCAGCACGAGCTACCCCGAGTTGTTGACGAGAATGTCAAGGTGGTCTTCAAGTGACGAGAGCTCCTCCACCACCTTCTTGCGACCCTCTGCAGCGCACCACCAACATGTAGAATAGTCCGCGTGTGAGACGCAAACTTGTTCAGCAGCAACTGCTCGCGCCACATGGCCGCACGCGCACGCACGCGCGCACCCGCTGTAGAGATGTTGGCGGACGACAGAGCCACACACTTGCCCGGCCCAGCCGCGGTCAGCTCCTCCGCCGCTTTATCGCACTCCTGACGCAGCAACAAATAAATCTAGAATTATTATCACATTATTATTTTCACATTATTATTTTATTTGTTAGAGAACATTATTATTATCGTATAAATTATAAAATGAAACAAGCAAGAACCTTCTTGGAGCGTGAGGCGATGTAGACGGTGGCGCCGTTGCGCACGAAGCCTTGAGAGATCATGAAGCCGATGCCTCGGCCACCTCCGGTAACCAGCACTACCTTGCCCTTCACCCCGAATAGCTTGTCGATTTCCATGTTACAACGAGGAGGAGCTCCTTTGCTGTGACTTGACGCGGAAAAAAAAACCAGGGTTCTCCCTCGGGGAGTTTCCTCCGCACAATTTCTTCAGCCTGCCCCGCTTTTGGAAATGGTCCACCAACAGAAGGTCAAGTGACCAATTTGCCGTTTCGAAACGCAAAAAACGAACGAAACGAACTGGGATCCAAAACGCGCCATAAAAGCACCGCAAACAATGGAATTCCCACTCCATTGTGGCGCGGTGATGACGACCACTTGTGGAAGTGGATCATCGCGGGGCGCTGACAAGGCTAGGTAATTTCACGCACTACACCATCTTCATGTGTCACCTTCTGATCCATGATCAAGGGGAAGGAAGACAATCCACAAGCAATCATGCAGCACCTCAACAAGGAGCTGTGGCCTAAGACCAATGCCACCTGCATGGACCTCCTTTGTAACTTTGTCAGCATCTGTTGCAAGCCTGAGGAGGAGATCAAAGTCTTCTTTGCTTGGATTGAAGCTGTGCAGGCTGAACTTGAAGAGAGTGGAATGGTGGCTGATTTGGCCTACCAACTACTTGCAATTCTTGATGGCCTGCCACCTGAGTACAACACCACCTGCGCTGTCATCAAGTCTGAGGACAAGATTGACATTGATTGAGCCAAGCGCCTGATCTGTCAACAAGATGGCATTTTCACCACATGAAGCCAACTGACTGCGGTCAACACAGTGGGACAGACATGCAGCAAGCTCAACACCAACTGACATCAAGATCACAAGCCCAAGCCAGTCAGCAACAACCATCACAGATTGACATAGGTACCAGCAGTTGGTCTCATCAGAGATGGTGTTGACCTGATTGGTGACAGAGAGCATGGTCTTGTCCTCACTGCTGGTCTCCTCAGTCACAGTGTTTGTGCATGAGCCAGCACATTTGGCTGCACACCACTTGGGCACAAGGACAACACCTGTGGCCTGCTCCTGGGCAACAACCACCAGTGCCCAGTTCTTGGACACAGCACGCTCAGGGCCACCACCATGGTCAATGGTGAGCCTCAGCAGGTAGTGCTGCAACACGTCCTCTTCACGCCTGAGCTTGCCAAGAACCTGGTGTCAACTGCTCTCATCACCTGCAACAGACACCAGATCCAGATGAACCACAATGGGTGCCAAGTTTGCACAGCCAACAGCAAGATCATCCTGCAAGTGTGATTGGATGGCAACATGCTATGGCTGCCCATCCATCTGATCCCACCACTGCTGCCAGCTCAGGCCCTCACTGCCACAAAGTACACTGTTGATGTGAACAAGCTTCACCACCACCTTGGGCATGTCTGTGAGAGCCATCTACACACAATCCTCAAGGAGCAAGGCATCAAGTGGCCAGCCATGGGACTGGCTGAGTGTGTAGTGTGCCAGCAAGGCAAGGCCACCCATGTCCTGGTGAATGGGTGGATCATTGAGATGAGGAATGTCATGTTCCAACACAGCCTCAATGATGTCCCTACCACTCTGAATGAACATGCTGAAATCCAAGTCAAACAGGCTGACATGGCAGCACCCTTGCTCACCATTGACCCAATCAATCTGGTTCCCACTCCAACCCCATGCACCAGGACCAGCTTTGACATCATGCCGCCTGCATTGCCACCGACCACGCCGCCTGCATCGCCGCCAACCACGCCACCTGTGTTGCCACTGACCATGCTGCCTGTGTCACCGCTGACCACGCTGCCTGTGTCACTGCCGACCACGCTGCCCCTGTTGCTGCCAACCATGCTGCCCCTGTTGCTGCCGACCATGCTGCCCCTGTTGCTGCCAACCATACAACCAACAGGCACCGCCAACCATGGCCATCACCAAAGAAGCCTCTGAGCTGTAAGCGCCAACCAAATAGAGCCATCTTCAACAAGGATTTTTGAGCACTTGTAGTCACTGAGCCCAAGGCACCCATCACCACTCCAACATCATACAAAGAAGCAAGTTGACAGCCCAGAAGCTGAGGAGTGGATACAGGTGATGATGGAGGAATTCAACACCATCATAAGGAACACCACCTACACCCTTGAGAGGCTACCAAAAGGGCGCAAGGCCATCGGCGCTCGTTGGCTGTTCAAGCTGAAGCGCAAGGCAGACGGCTCAATTGATCACTTCAAGGCTCAGTGGGTGGCAAAGGGGTACTTGCAACTGCCAGGGGTGGACTTCAATGAAACATTCGCGCCCATAATCCAACTCAAGAACCTTCAACTGCTACTGGCCATCGCAGCTGCACTCAACCTCGAGGTACACCAGATGGATGTGGACAACGCCTTCCTCAACGCCGACCTCAGTGAGGAGATCTACATGCAGCAACCTGAGGGCTTCGAAGACCAGGACCACCCTGACTACGTCTGCAGGCTTCAGAAGAGCCTGTACGGCCTAAAACAAGCGCCACTCGAGTGGAATCAAACAATCAATGCCTACCTGAAGAAACACGGTTTCTGGCCGACCCGACTCGACCCCTGCATCTACGTCCGAGTGCACGACAACAAGACCTCCTTCGTTGCCATCTACATCGATGACTGCATGATCATCTCGCCTAACGACCAGATCGAGGACATCAAGGCTCTCCTGCACCAGGGTTTCCAAATGAAAGACCTTGGAGAAGCCAAGTCGGTCCTGGGACTGGAGGTGCTACGAGATCAAGGCTTGGGCGCCATCTACCTACGACAGGCGGGGAAGATCCACGAGCTCGTGACTTCGGCCTCGTGAAAGCAAAACCGATCCACACGCCAATGGAGCTCAACCTCCAACTGCCAAAGATAGAGAGGACAAACAACGAAGACATTGAGCTGCCGTATCGCTCCACCGTGGGGCGCCTCAACTACATTGCGCTTGCCACACAACCCAACATTGCCTTTGCCGTCAACTCCCTCAGTCGTCACGTCAACGCCTTTGGACGTCAACACTGGAAGGCAGCAAAGTGTGTGATTTGATACCTCAAGATGACTCTTGAACTGGCCATTCGCTACGATCGCACAGGCAGTGGAGATGCTGACGACCACCCGCTTGGCTTCGCCAATGCCAACTGGAGGCGACCAGTACATGCGCAAGTCCACCACCAGTCTTGTCTTTGTCTACTCCGGCCGATCCGCTGGGGCTCCCGCACGCAGAAATGCATCGCCACGTCAACCACCGAAGCCGAACTCAACGTGCTTGTCGAAGCGATGAAAGAGGCAGTCCATCTTCACGACCTCTACGGCGAGCTTCTGCCGACCCGCGACTACCCGATCACGTTATACTCCGACAATCAAGGGGCTCTGACGATCGCCAATTCGAAACCTGGAGAACACGTGCAACGCTCCAAACACTACGCCATCAAAGTGGCTTTCCTACGCGACCAGGTCGACACTCATGGGGCGCGCCTGCTCTACGAACCGACCGACACGATGCCGGCCGAGACCTGCTGACCAAGTCGCTCAGTCGAGACCGCACCGAGTCACTCTGCGATCTCCTGAGCCTAGTCTGCCCGCCGAGTTCGCTCATGGGGCGTGTTGCGTAGGAAGGAACTCCTTCCTCCGTTGTGAGCTGCCCTCGGCGTACGACGGAATTTTCCCATCAATAATCCACGACTAAAAACAGGTGTCTTCCTAGTTTTACCCAATAAAACGGAAACGCACAAAGCACAACGCTTTGTCTTTCTCTTCATCTTCGTCACTCCTCTCGTCCCCTTTCTTTCCTCTGCTCAACACTTCAAAGGCACTGCTGTGCCCGCTAACATCTCCATCCCGTCAGTGGTGAAGAATCAGCCACATGGGGCCTGTCAGACATGTTTGCGGCAGGGATCATCCTGCTAGAGCTTCTTCTAGGTAGCGGCCTCGAGACCAACTTGACTGTCACTTTTCGCGAGGAGCTGATGACGCTGTATGTGATGCACAAGCTCACTTGTCGCTCACTCGCGGCCATCCCTTCCACACCCGAGTAGGAAACCACCCATCGAAATAAATGCAGTCTTCCACGTTACGCGAGGCGTGGGATATATTTTCAGAGATATACATGTATTTTTCAACTACACGCCATTTCAAAGGCACGGGCTCAGGGCCGCGTAGGAGAGGTGCACCTGCTGGTCCTCGGCCGCCGAGCAGCTCATGACGGGCGTGCGCCAGATGTACGATACGCGCAAGTCCTTATCCATCCCTATGTGTTTGCGATGACCTTCACTTTAGCCCACCTGACACGACACGACACACGCAACACACACGATACACACAACACAGGACGCGCAACACGTGTGCGAGGTTGTTTACCTGGCGCGGGGTCGCCGAAGGCCTTGTTCATGCAGCCATTGGGCGAGAAGAAGTAGCCGAAGGCGGTCACGCCCCTCCCGCCCTGCTGGGCCGCCATGTTGCCGAGCACCGAGGCCACGTCGTAGCGGCACTCGCCGATGCCGTAGGAGCTCTGCAGGAGCACGAGGCTGAAGTGGGCCGCCTCCTGCGGCACCGCGACGTGCGCGCCCACGCTCTGGTGGTACATGTCGGCCATCGTCAAGCTGAGCTGTTATTGCACCGCGACGACACGACACGACACGCAACCATAGATTGTGAGCCACACGACACACGCACCACAACAGTACAATGAATGCGTGGAATGTAAGGTCACCTTGCGGTCCTCGGACAGTGTGAGGGACTTGGGCTGACCGACGACCTCGTAGGTGAACTCGAGCCTCTTGGCCTTGCCGTAGATGGGATCACCTGTTTTGGCAAAAACTTTAGTTCGTTTTTTTAATCGGACGTTTGCAACAAGCTCACCAACCCGAACTAGGCGACGAAGATGAACAAGAACAGCGAAGAACGAGGGTGATGGGGAAAGAACGGAAAAAACGAACCCAAAAAGAACGAAGACGAAAATGACGGTTGGGGGGGGGGTGAGACGCGAACCAAAGAGGGCGTTCATGCTGCGTCGGCTGCCGAAGGCGTTGAGCGAGAGGCCGCCCTGACCCATAACCAGCCGCTGGAGTACGTCCGTGACGTCGAGCCAGTGCCCGCCGGCCCCGTAGCTGGCCCGCACGATGCGGATGTAGGCACCCGTCGTCGTCATCGGCGCGGGCGGCGGGGCGGCCACGTGGACCACGGCGCAGGGGGGCGGAGCGCAGTGGCGAGCGGGGCGGTGGCGGGCGCGGTGGTGGCACTGGTGCGAGCAGCCGTGGTCGCAGCGCGACATGGCCGCCACGCCGAGTATAAGGTCGCTCACATTCAGATGCGCGTGGAACGTTGGCTTCATGTTTCGTGTCTTGGTTGCGGCGTTTGTTGTGTCGTCGTTGTGGTTGTATTGCTTTAGTTAGTGTTGGTGGTTGTCGGCCTTTTGCCTCTTTCGGGGGACGTGAACCATCGCCCGAAAACTCGAAATAATAATTCCAATAAATAATTATTGAAAAATTATTGAAAATAGTGATCCAATTCTACAAGCCTGTCAGCACAGGACGCAGCTGCTCTCGGTGTTCTGCTTGGCGGAGGCGGCGGGCGTGGCCGGAGCGTCGTCGGGGTGGTCGAAGCAGGAGTCGATGAAGCGGACCCAGAAGGGCGGTAGGATCTCCTTGGGGCTCTCCTTGAGCTCCTTGGTGATGCGCAGCTCGAACGGGCCGTGCATGAACCGCTCCCTGTCCCTCGCCCAACTGAACAGCGCCGCGCCTGCGTTCGCACCACCACCACTGTCAACACCGGCACCGCACACGCACGCGCACCGCCGCACACGCACGCGCACGCGCACGAGAATAGAGATGTACCAGCGCCGTTGTGGAAGGGGTTGAGCTCGATGATGAGCACTCGGTTGTCCCTGGTGAGGTAGAAGTCGATCACGTAGCTCGAGTGAGAGATCTTGTCCTTGATGCTCTCGTGGAAGTCGAGGATGGTCCGCTTCACCTCTTCCTCCCGCGCGATCAGGTCATCGTCTGTGACAATCCACACACACACACACACACACACGACACACACACGACACAGACACGCCGTCAGAGTCAGAGCCTAAACTAATTTTGTCTCTACGACAGCGGAACCGAGCGAGGGGAGCCGGACGTACGTACATTTACAAAAGCAGAAGTACTGCGACATGGCGTTCAGCTGGTTTTGGTGCACGAACGCCCGGAACTCGTACTGCGCCACATTTAGACAGAATATAAAAGAAATAATAAGCGAATATTAATTAAATTTTAAATATTTAATTATACACATAAATAGAATTGAACTAAATAGAAAAATAAAACTATTAAATAAATACCTGGGGTCGTTCGATGACTTCGTCGCGCCACTCGCGGAGGATGAGGTTGAGGTCGAAGTGCTGCTCGCCGTAGGGCAGGATCTTGTTGAGGTCCTCGCTGATGCGGTCGCTCTTGGCCAGCAGGTAGAGGGCCTCGCTCCCGCTCGTGATCTTCATCGCTCGGCTCGTCGCCACCACGAAGGTGCTCGTCTCCTCATTGTCATCGCGCTCCGCTCTCGACACACTAATCTTGCCCTATGATGGAACACCACACGCACACACCACGTCAATCGTGTGTGTGTGTGTGCGCGCGCGCGTGTGTGCGTGTGCGGTGGTGCGTGTGTCGTGTCGTGTCGTGTACCGAAGGAGAAAGGACGAGATCCTCTTCGGCCGCTTCCTTGCCACCGGCTTGCTGCTTCCTCTTGTTGCGGTACAGCTCCTCCAATTCCGCCTTCACCAGGTCCTTCACCTGCTGGTTCTCAAAGTCGTACAATACCACGTCCTACACACACACACACACACAGCACACACCGCACACACACACACGCACACGCACACACACGCACATGTCACCGCACACACCACATGCACACATGTTAGGTCGAGAAGATGACAAGTTGCGAGAGGGCAAGCGACAACCTTGGGGCTGCGCGTGTCGAGCTTGATGAACGCCCCGTGGGCCAGCCTCCCGTCGCCCTTGATCGCCTCATCGAGCCGCTCCTCCAGCTCTTTCACCAGCTTCTTGTCCTGTCTCACACCCACGCGGCACCACCCCACACACGTCAGCGCGCCACCTTCATGAACGGCCGGGCCTTGTGCGGTGTGCGGTGTGCGGTGTGCGGTGAGTGCGTGCGTGCGTACCTCGTCGGAGAGGGGCTCGGAGACGCGGTTGGGGCTGAGGGAGTAGTGGTACCTGCTCAGCGCTTCCGCTTCGCGGTAGGAGAGCGGGACCGACTTCGTGTAGAACGTGTGGTCCTGCAGCTCGTCGTACCTGTGCCCAAACGAGGAAACAGAACAGAAGAAGAAGAAGAGCCTCTCCGATCAGCGTTTTGTGGTGTGCCTGTGCGTTGGCGTGTGGTAAAGCACGTGCCAGGATTCGATACCAAAGGCCGCCTGGTAGCGCTGCCGCCTGAACTGCTCAATATTTGCCTCCTTGATACCTGTGTGCTCGGGGGGGGGGCACACGAGTTCAGAATTTCGTATTTTTATTGATTTATGAAATTATTATTAAGTAGAATAATAAAAAAGGCCATGGGGGGCTTTACCGAGCGCACGTATCTCGTCGTTGGTGAGGAGCAGGTGTGAGGTGAAGCGCTCCTGCCTTGGCCTGCTGCCCTCCTGCTGTTCCCTATTTTTGTTGTTTAGGTTGGACAAATAAACAATTAATAATTGTTCAATAAATGGCCTCATTCATGCACCCTGCAGCACGTACGTACATGTTGATGAACAACTTCTTCTATCTTTTTTCACTCTTGTTTCCTTTTTCCATCTTGTGTGAAATGATTAATTTGTTTATTTATTTGTTGCATGAAGTGGAGGGAATCAAGGAAGTGGCGGAGAAGCGAGTGCTGTGTGCCGATTAGTGGGCCGCAGCTTGGCTGTAGGTGCGCTCGCGGTCCTGGGCGACTCCACCCTTGGCCTCGGCCTGCCACTGCTGCAGCTCGTCGGCGTTGAGCTTCATGAGGTGGAGCACCTCCTCGTCCTCGGTCTGGTCGAAGCGCTCGTAGAACTGGCCCACGGCGTGGAAGTCCTTGGGCGCCTGCACGTACACCAGCTCGTCGACCATCGCCGCGAACGAGCGCACACGATCGGCCGGCATCACCGGCACGGCCAACACCACCTTCTTGCAGTTGCCTGCGGGAGGTGTATCGTTGACCGTGTGCGGTCGTGCGTGTCGTGTCGTGCGGTTTGCATACTTGAAATTCCAAACCTAATAAGGTCCTGCTGGGTGCGTACTCTTGCGAAGCATGCGCAGCGAGGCCTTGGCGGTGGAGCCGGTGGCGATGCCGTCATCGACCAGGATGGCGATCTTGCCGGTGAGGTCCAGCGTTGGCCGGTCGCCGCGGTAGGCCTTGAGCCGGCGCTGCGCCTCCCTCCGCTCCTTGTCGATCGTCGGCTGCAGGTCCCGTTCCGAGAGGTGCATCATACGAAGCGTGTCATGCTCCAGCTCCACACTGCCATCCTGTAAGCAAAAAAAGAACTTCATAAACTTCACTGCATTCCGGTCACATTGCAACCATTTGTTGTAGACATATATCAATGCAGACGTATAATCTGGAAATAGTACAAGTAAAAATATAAATAAAATGATAGAGTACCTGGGCCAGAGCGCCGACGGCGTATTCCTCGTGGCCGGGGCATCCGATCTTGCGGGAGACGATCATGTCTAGCGGGAGGCGCAGCTCGTGGGCCACGTGGTAGCCGATCACGATGCCGCCGCGCGGGAGGCCCAGCACGATGGCCTCGTCCCGCATGTCGCGGTAGTGCTTGAGCTTGCGTGCCAGCTGAACGCCGGCGTCGGCGCGGTCCTTCAGGAAGCGGTTGGACATGAAGAACATGCTCTCTGTGTCGTTGTCGGGCCGATGAGTTGTCGGTTGTTGGTGATGTTGCAATGTTGGCGTCAAGGGAAGAAGAAAGAACGAAGCCAAAAAGAGCGAAGAGGCCGCGATCAAGAACGACAAGAACAACCAGACAGGGGAGGAGAAGAAGTGGTGGGGGAAGTGGCGAAGAAGGGAATACGTGTTTGTCGTAATGGGGGTGTGTTGAATGAAACTCGGTGGTGGTGGAGGGAATGTTCAGAAGAAGACTAAATGGTGGGGAAGTAATTATGTGCCGTGGGTCACGAAGTGCCGTCCCCTTGGTGTCCACATCCCACTGTCCTTCACCACGATTCTCGGCCGCTTCCCGCCACATTTCCCTCCAAAGGGTTGTTTCGCTTGATTGTGATTGGACAAAGTTTGCGACATTATCTTTTCGTGCAGCTTCTTGCTGTCGTCGTCCTGATTCTTGCTGAGGTGCAGACTCTCTGCCCCCGGTTCGCCCTGGCAGTGCGTGGTGGTTTAGGGCTTCACGGTTGTGGTGGAGCATAGCCTCTCCGGCGTGGTGGTGGAGCACTGCTCGGGCGTCGTGGTGTAGGGCTTTTCGGTCGTGGTCGAGCACATCTCGGGCGTAGTGGTGCAGGGCTTCTCGGTGGTAGTGGAGCACTGCTCGGGCGTTGTGGTGCAGGGCTTCTCGGTCGTGGTCAAGCAGGGTTTCTCAGTCGTAGTTGTCGAACACTGCTCGGGAGTGGTGGTGCAGGGCTTCTCGGTCGTGGTGGAGCACATCTCGGGCGTAGTGGTGCAAGGCTTCTCGGTCGTGGTCGAACACTTCTCGGGAGTCGTGGTGCAGGGCTTCTCAGTGGTGGTGGAGCACTGATCGGGCGTCGTGGTGCAGGGCCTCTCCGACGTGGTGGTGGAGCACTGCTCGGGAGTGGTAGTGCAGGGCTTCTCGGTCGTGGTGGAGCACTGTTCAGGCGTCGTGGTGCAGGGCTTCTCGGTCGTGGTGGAGCACATCTCGGGGGTCGTGGTGCAGGGTCTCCCAGTCGTGGTGGTCGAGTGGCACGGCGTGGTGGTGGAGCACTGCCCGGGAGTGGTGGTGCAGGGCTTCTCGGTCGTGGTGGTGGTGTGGTACGGGGTGGTCTGCTCACGGGTGGTGGTGCAGGGTTTCTCGGTCGTGGTCGTGGTCGAACACTGCTCGGGGGTCGTGGTGCTGGGCTTACCAGTTGTGGTGGTGGTCTCCCGCGGGGAGGTCGTGGTCTCCTGCCCGGTAGTGGTGCTGAGCTTCCTGGTCGTCGTAGTGGTCGATCCATGGCACGGCTTCTTGGGGCGGCACACCTTGGCGCACTTCCAGTAGCACTTCTTGTCGCCATGGTCATCGTAGTCGTGGGGGCTCCAGTCCTTGTCCCCGCCACGGCGTGCGGCATCACTTTCCCCTCCTGATAGGAGCGGTTTAGTGTTGTGTATGCCTGCCGTTTCGTTGTTCGTGTTATGTAACTAACCTAGAGCGTCGGCGAGGGAACAGAGGGCCAGAAGACCCAGGCAGACCAGGGTCAGCGTCATCAACTTGTTCAGCTTCATCTTCTCAACTTGGCAGTGGTTTCTTGTGCTGCTTTTGGTGGCGCAGGTTGATGAAGATGAAGGACTGGAGCGTTCTTGTTCTTTATAATCGCCCTGCGGGCACTCGCTTCTCATTGGTAGATCCAGTTTTTTTGAACAAACCGCGCAGTGCAACAAATCACACGCCGCGGCAAGCCGCTCTTCTGCTCTCCCCTTTCGAAACAACTCACCTGACCACCTCAGCACTCCCACAGGGATGGCGCCTCTGTGCTTGATGTAGCCGGTCTTCGAAATTCACTATGGCGGAGCACACCAACACCAATCCAGCGCTGCCCAGCACCATGAGCGACCCAGATGATCGACTTTTCACCTCCTCCGTGCCTTGTTTCACGCGACCTTTATTTTCCAAGAGAAGGAAATTTGGAAGTACAGCCACTGGGCCGCCGCGGCTTGTGGGTAGTGGTTGACAGTGCACGGCTGGTGCGGGTCGAGCACTGCATAAGATCACCACACTCACGCACCCGCACACACGCACCCGCACACTCACAAGCACACACGAATAGTGATGGAAAGGTACACACACCACACGCCTTAGGCTGCCACATGGGAACCCACCAGATGTGCATGCGACTTTTTATGTCTGGAGTTGTAAGTGCCAAGCTTGCTTGCAACAAGATCTAAAGCTTTTATTATGGAAACTGATGAAAAGTGTCTCAGTCAGTATGTGAGATTCTCTGGCGCTGGGCGCTCAGTACTGCTTCTCTCGGTTATTCTCGTCCTGGTTCTCGCCAAGGTGCAGCCCAGTCTTTTTGTCCTGTTACTCGCCGCGGCTCTCCCCTTCCGTGCATTGCTTGGTGGTGGTAGAGCTGCAACCAGGCTGGTGGGACGTGGTGGAGTGGTGCTGTGTGGTGGTAGAATGCTGGTGCGTGGTGGTCGAGCACTGATCGGGGGTCGTGGTCGAGTAGTGGCGCGTGGTGGTCGAGCTCTGATCGGGGGTCGTGGTCGAGTGGTGGCGAGTGGTGGTCGAACACTGATCGGGCGTCGTGGTAGAATGCTGGTGCGTGGTGGTCGAGCACTGATCGGGGGTCGTGGTCGAGTAGTGGCGCGTGGTGGTCGAGCTCTGATCGGGGGTCGTGGTCGAGTGGTGGCGCGTGGTGGTCGAACACTGATCGGGGGTCGTGGTCGAGTGGTGGTGCGTGGTGGTCGAACACTGATCAGGCGTGGTGGTCGAGTGGTGGCGCGTGGTGGTCGAACACTGATCAGGCGTGGTGGTCGAGTGGTGGTGCGTGGTGGTTGTCTCTTGCCTGGTCGTGGTCGTCTCACGAGGAGTGGTGGTCTGCTCCTTGGTCGTGGTGGTCTCCCTCGGGCTCGTCGTCTGCTTCCTGGTCGTGGTCGTCTCACCAGGCGTGGTGGTCCGCTGCTTGGTAGTCGTGGTCTCCCGCCTGGTCGTGGTCGTCTCACCAGGCGTGGTGGTCTGCTCGTTGGTCGTGGTGGTCTCCCTCGGAGTCGTGGTCTGCTGCCTGGTGGTGGTCGTCTCACCAGGCGTGGTGGTCTGCTGCCGGGTGGTGGTTGTCTCCTTCCTGGTCGTAGTGGACCCGTGGCAAGGCTTCTTGGGGCGGCACACCTTGTGGCACTTCCAGTAGCACTCCTTGCCGTCGTCTTCGTCCTCGTCATCCTCGGAACAATCGTGGTGGGGGCGCCAATCATTGTCATTACCGCGGCCTCCGTAATCGTCCGACACTCCTGTGATTGGAGCAATGTAAGGTAGGTTAGCCTGCTACATAGTAGTGCATTTCTGTTAAGATATTGTGTGGTATGTGGCTAACCTTGGGCGTCAGCGAGGGCGAACAGGGCCAGTAGACCCAGGCAGACCAAGGTGAGCGTCATCAGCTGGTTCAGCTTCATTGCTTGCTGGTGTTCTGCCTTGTTGATGAAGTGATGGTGCCGAATGCGTTTGGAGCGGCTTTTATAGTCGCGAGTGCGGCACGGGTACTCGCTCCTCATTGGAAGTTCCAGTTTTTGAACAAACCGCGCAGTGCAACCACTCACACGCCGCGGTAAGCCGCTCTTCTGCTCACCCCTGCGGAAACGAGCCACCCTCCCATCTCAGCGCTCCCGCAGTCGTGGCAGCCCCGTGTTCGATGCCAGCCTGTCCTCGACTTTCCCCCTTTTGGCCTTCCCTCGCACACACCAGCCCAGCCGTGCCCTGCACCACCGCCGTCTCCCCTAATCGACATTTCACCGTCCCTGTGGGCTGTGCCATGTGACACCAACAATCAAATCAGTAATATAATTATTTGTAATTGCATTTTATGGATTTATTTTAATTCTTTGCTTTTTTTTTGGTTTTTAGACGAGCTTGAGGCGTCGGATGTCTTCGTCGTGTTCGGCCAGCTCGCCGATCATGCGAGCCACCTCGTCCACGATGCCCAGCCCCATGCCGTCGTCCGCACCACCACCGCCGGCTGCCAGCTGCGCCGCGGTGCACTCCAGGCTGTCCTGCCGCTCCCTCCCGGCCCGCACCATGTTCTTCCGCGCCTGCCGCTCGGCCTCGGTAATGCTCAGGCCCCGCTTCCGCTCCAGCAGCAGCTGCTCGTCGTCGGCGTCGGCTTCGCCACCGTCGACGGACTGGCCCGGCGTCGCGGTTGGTGATGATGACGTGGCAGCGACAGCGACGGGGGTGGTGCGGACGCTGGAGCGGCACGAGGCGGGGTTGCTGGTGGGCGGACTGCGGGAGGCGGGCGAGGAGGAGGCCGGGGAGGCGTAGGCCGACGAGCGCTTCTTCATGCGTTCCTCGATCTGCTTCACCTTCAGCATCCGCTCGTCCCGCTCCCGCCGCTTGCGATCCTCCTCGCTCTCCTCAACTACCGCCACCACCTCCGCCTCCTCTTTCTCTTCGTTTTCGTCTTTTTCTCGCTTTCGCTCTTCGGCCTCTATCTCTTCTCTTTCCTCTCGCTTTCGTTCTTCCACTGCCGCAGCCGCCTCCGCTTCCTCCTTTTCCGTGTTGTCGACAGCCGGCGCAGCCGCGGGCGCTGCAGTTGGCTGGGGCTGAGGCCTTCCAACCCGCCGCTTCTCGGTCAACTCGCGAACTCGTCGCGCCCGCTCCTCCTTCTCTCTTTGTTGCCTCTCCTCCGGCGTTTCTGTCGACAAAGACGACGATGAAGATGAAGGTGATGATGATGATGTGACGCGGCCCTTGAGCTGCTCCACCTTGGCCATGGTGGCGAGCTTGCCCTCGTCGCGGGTGGGGATCATCTGCCGGATGCGCTCCCGCACCTTCTCCCGCTCGGCCTCCTCTTCGAGTTCCTGCTGCCGCTTCCAATGCCGTTCGCTTTCCTCTCTTTCTTCTCTCTTCAGCCTCTCGCGCTCCTCCCCTGCCGCCTTCGCTTTCGCGATCGCTTCTTCCTTCTTCGCTTTCGCTCTTTCGATTTCCTCCGCCTCTTCCTCCGCCCTCCGCTTGGCTGCCGCGACCGCCTCCTCTTCCATCTCCTTCTTCGCCTTCGCTTTGTTGTCGTCGTCGCCCGGCGCGCCTTCGTTTTTCTTCACCTCGCCCTCCTTCTCCCTTTCTTCTTGTTCGTCGCCCTCGCCCTGCTCGCTGGTCTGCTGCTGCTGCCGCTGATCGGCGCCATCATCGATCATTTTCTTCTCCTGCACGGCGACGTCATCGATCTTCTTCTCCTGCACGGTGTTGTCGGCTTCGTTGATGCGCACGTGGAGCGTGGGCTGCTGTTGGTCCTGGCCGGTCAGCTTCGGCTTCTTCTTGGGCATTCTGGACACCCGCTTGTTCATGTTGTACCGCATCTCGGCGATGCACTGCTCCTTCATCTCGTCCAAGCGCTTCACGATCTCCACGAACGTGGGCCTAACGAACGCGATTCTTTTAGGTCCGAAAAGAGCGAAAGAGAAAAGAGCGAGAGGGTGGGGGGGGCAGTACCTGGCCTTGGGGTCGACTGACAGGCACTGGCAGATGAGGGCGCCGATTTCGATGGTCTGGTCGAACGCCGGCAGCAGACCGTACGACTCGATCGCTTCGCCCAACTGCGTTACAAGTGGGTGTGAGTGTCATCGTGCGTGCGTGCGTGCGTGCGTGCGTGCGTGCGTGCGTGCGTGCGTGCGTGCGTGCGTGCAGCATTAATAGAGGGGTTGGGTGAGGCACCTCGGTATGTACGGTGATCTTGCGGAGCTGTTTGAACTGCTCCTGCTTGTAGGGCGGTTGGAGGGTGGTGAGCTCCACCAGGATCATGCCGTACGAGTATACGTCGCTCGCAAACGAGTACTCGCCTCGCTTCAACACCTCCGGCGCCTGCACGTCACCAGCCAAACAATAAATGAATTAATAATCAAAATAAAGTAAAAATAAATAATACCAAATGAATTCACTTCAAAGAAGCGCATGATGACGTGGCCGGGGTGCGTGTGTCGTACCAGGTGGAAGCGCGGGGAGGGCGACGAGCGCGCGGCGTAGGGGATGCCCTCCGGTCGCACGGCATTGCCGAATCCGCCCACCTTCACCGTCCAATCGTCTGCGACCTGTTACAACGATCTCGGTCAGCAGTTCCTGCGCGTGGCTTCGCCATCAATACATCAAAGAATGTGTTCGCGAACCAGAATGTTTTCAGGCGAGAGGTTGGCGTGGATGTAGCCGAACTTGTCGTGCAGGAGCGTCCTGCGGCCAGCAACACGCACCCGGGGGGGGGTAAGAACGAAGAACAAAGAACGAAGAAGAAGGAAGAAAGCGACGAGCGGTTTGAGGGAAGAGAGCCATGTGTACATGGCCACGGCGATGTGACGCGCGATTTCAAAGGTCAGTTCGGGCTCGTTCAGCTCCTCCTGGCACTGTCCCAGGCACACGCGATCCACATTCCCTTGTGAGACAGTGTGCGAGGGGTGCCATGTGTGTCGTGTCGTGTCGTTGGTCGTGTCGTGTCGTGTCGTGTGCCGTGTGAAAGCGAGGCGGAAACCTGGATGAGGCAATTGCGGAGGGAGCCCTTGGTCATGGGCTCGAAGACGAAGCCCATCTGCAGGCCGTTGGAGCCGTCGGTCACGCACACACCCAACAGCTGAACGAAATACGGCGCCATTTCTGTGTTGTTGTCAAAAACAAAATCAAATTAGCCCGAACATGATTTTAAACAATCGATGAAACTTAATAATAATAAGAGGTAGCAATGTTCTTACCATTGGACGGCATGCGTGGGCTCCCGCTGGGATTCTCGGCTCTATTGTACATTAAGAGATCAACAAAATAACTTTCATTCCGCACCAATCAGCGGACTCGTACCGGTGGATGGTGGTGAGGGTGGTCAACTCACGCATCGCGCGACTAAACGACAGCCAATCAAAGAGTTGCAGATTCTTGAAGACGACGCTGAGCTGTTGTCGACGAACACAGCCGTAAGCACGCACGACACGCACGACACCCCACACACGCACGACATCAAGTGAGGCACGTACCTCGGTGCGGTCGGGGCCTCTATCGTCGGCGATCGGGTGGCCGTCGAGGATGACGGCGTACTTCATGCTCCCCTTGCCGGTCCTCTGCTTGCGCATGCTGGCCCGCTTGTGGTTGGTCGCCTGCGCCTCACCGCCCAGCACCCAGAACGCGATGTTCACCTCGGCCAGCTTCAAGTGCAATCCATCGCCTGTACACGACGCGTGCGTGTGAGTGTGAGGTGGTGCGTGTGCGGTGTGGTATGTGCGTGTGCGGTGGTGCGTGTGCCATTGTTAGCATTCCAATTGGTGGCACACGGAGCGAGTGGCGAAGGTTCGTTGGCTACCGGAGGAGGGGCGGCCGGAGAGCAGGATGGGCGCGCCGGCGTTGAAGACGACCGTCTTGCGCTGGACCACCTCGATCGTGCGCCGGTCGATGAAGAAGATGGGTAGCTGCAGCTTCACGACAGCCTCGCGCACGTCGCGCTCCTTCAGATCGAACTCCATCGTCGACGAGCCGACCGTCTGCGCCGCCGACGATGGCGACGACGGCGAAGACGATGACGAGGACGAGGACTGTAGAGATGATGATGTCGTCACCACCACGCCGCTGCCCGAGCTCGAGAGCGACGAGCCCGACTCGCTCGATTCGCGGTGGCTGCCCTTCTTGGTGACCACGCGCAGCAGGCGCTTGCTGCCGCCGCGCTTGAACAGGCCCGAGCCCTCGTCCGACCCGCGCTTGCCCGCCTGCTGCGACTCCTCGTGGCTGTCGTCGTCGTCAGCGTCGTTTCCGTCGGCGCTGCGACGGGGCGTGATGAAGGGCGAGCTGCTGCCCGACAGACTGCCACGAGGCGACATCGCCGAATCGAGGCTGAGCCGACAACAACCACAACATCGTTAGTCGTGTGTGCCATGGCGTGTGCGTGTGCGTGTGCGGTTTTGTGCGTGTGCGAGTGTGCGAGAGGTTCAAGAAGGAAGAGAGACCTTTCGCTGCCACGTCGTCCCTTCTCCTCGAAGAGGAAGGTGAAGTCGATCTCGTTTCGGATGAGCAGGAACCGCATGTGGCAGTTGGCGCACACGCGCACCGGCTGGCGACGCGGCACCAGAAGACAAGCGTGAGTCGGCGAGCGAAAGAACGAAAGAACGAAAGAGCGAAAGAACGAAGAGAGAGGGAAACCTTGGAGTAGCCGAACCGGGGGACGGCGACCCTGTAATTGGAGCAGCTGGCGCAGAAGGCATCACCTAGAACGATCGCGTGTGGAAACGTGCACGCGCAAACTGTTAGACTGCGTCGAATCGCCTCCCAAACACAAGACCCGACCGGCGACGTCACGAGAAGGCGGTGCGAGCGAGAGGGGAGACGTACGACACACTTTGCAGTGGCGCTACGAGGTGCCAAAAAAGAACGAAGAAAGCGAAGGAAAAGCGAAGTGGGGGGGGAGAGATCGTTAGACATGAAGAAGAGAGGGAAAACGGCAGTTGTGACAAGGTGGGGAACGAGGATCAACTCGAGTTCCTTGGATTGAGAACAAAGGTACCTTGCGATTGACTGCGTTGAATTTGGTGGAGCAGAGCTTGCATTTGTTCTCACCTCCTGTTGGACGTCCGCTGCCGCTGCTGTGTTGCATCTATCAAAAACGAAGGTTTAATTTTATTTTTCGGCCTTTTCTTTTGTCAAAATTAATAATAATTTGTCACTTTATTGGTGTTGCTCAACCCAGTTTATTACTTGAAAATGGGAAAAGGCAAAGGAAAATCGGGCCGATTTGTGGTGTCCTTTGGGCGACTTGTGCCCCGTCGTCTTCTCTTTTGTGGTCATCTCTGAGCTTCACATGTCAGTCTTGAACACGTCGAGGTCATCGTCCAGCGTGTTGAGATTGCGCAGGTCGCCTGCATGGCCTCCCCGCTTGAGCCACCACTTCCACAACCTAGCCGCACACACCATCGCACAACACACACACACCGCACGTTAGTGGCGAATGTCTCGCCACACTCGATCGAGTGTAGAGTGAGAGTCTGCGGAGCGGGAAAAAAATGACGCACCCGACGAGGACCTTGAGCGCGCCCAGGATCACGATGAGAACCATCACGAGGTACTTGC